TACAGCATAGCAAAGCAAAGCACAGTGAGTTGATGCGAGTTAGGTACGGACAGGACGGCGTTACTTGCCATCATACATACACCCAGCCCCTACCTACAGTACTTGACTTTTTCCCACAACCTCGACAACTGGGCCTTTTGTGGTCATCTCACGGAGGACGGACAGATACGTACTAAGTTGCGAGCACTGCGAGAAGCAGAGGTGGTGTTCCAGCTTGCGCCACTCCAGCGAAGTTCAATAGCAAAGAGTAAGATCGGAGAGGACGGAGTACGATAAAATACATATCACCAAGCCAAGCACGGAGTACGAATTTGAGAAGAAGCCGGCAGTACCGTAACATCGCAAAGAAGCGGATATCCCATCCTTCACTCTAGCACACCAGCCAAGCCACCCCTGCCAGGCTTATGCAGGATCCAGCTTCCATGACTACCATTACTGCTGATCCTGCAGCTCCGACCCATCACCAGATAGTTTCGACGCACGCTAGGTTTCTAGAAATAAAGGGGACTAAGACACGGAGCAAGACCGTTACCCACCACTGGGATTGGTAGCGCAGGACGGAGCATTTTACAGCCAACGACATAGTGTGCCTGAAGGCAGGCCGATTACTTCGTACCAGTGCCTCGGAGCACACATCGATGGTGCCCTCTTACCCGCCTCTCTGTTGCATTGCATAAAGTTCGATACGCAAACAGGCCCTGCGACGAGAGAAGAGAGATGAGGAAACTCATTCCGATGACGAAGAACACAACAGTTCTGGTCAAATGCCCTCAAGCTCGAGCCCTCAGGACCCTCCCGGGGCCAATACCCCCGTCGATTGTGCCAACCGATGTTGATAAAAGGCCGGACGTCCCGTTCATGATTTGCGAGACTACTGATCGCTCGTCTACCGTCAGCCCTACATAACTACAAACAATCCCCCTCCTCTTCCTCACCAATACGCCAGACTGAGCATCATCTGCCATTTCCCTCAAGGGTGATCATCTGTCAATTGCCTGTTGGCTGTTACGTGGATCCAAGCACTTTAGTGGCTTTGGATCTTCTTATATGATTGATCCTCTTTTCTCACTTATATAACCCTCTCACATACATATCGATACTAAGGCGATTTCCATTCCATTGACCCACGACTTCGAACTCAATACGATTTCCCATTGATAAATTCCTCTTCGTCACGCAAAAGAACACTTCAAAATGTGCAATCGAACGCAATCTACTGTCAACACCAAGACTGGTTCGGCAGGACTTGTCAATCACGCCACTGGGGTTTGCGCACACAACCTCACACACAACTGCCTCGAGAAGGCCGCTTCAAACGATACCCTTTGCATAATGTGCAGGGCCCATTGTCCTTACTCTTGAGTAAGGGCATTGATAGTCCAAAGTGGACTTGTCATGGCGAGGGTCCGGAAATAAGAGCCCATCATGGCACGGCCATAGTTCTCCAGTTACCTTGCAGGCCACAATTAGCAACAAAGCAAGGCAACAAAGCAAGGCAACAATGCCAAGGCATCGGAAGGGGGGCAAGAGGAGGGCTAGCACCAGCGTGATGGGTTGATTTACGAAGAGTGATAGCCGACAAGGGGTGGAACTCGACTCTGGACCCAGACACGCATGCAAGACATGGCCTTAGTCAAGAACCCGAACATGACCTGGGCTTCCACGTGCAGAAGGGTAAGAGGGCTGCTTTTTTCCGACGCTGGGAAACGACATTGCAGGGAGGAGGGGTTGGAGATTGGGGAAGAATACGGGGTTTAATCGAGACGAGGCGGGAACAAGCATCCAAGAGAAGGCTCTTGGACATGATTTACATCTTGGCATAGACCACCAGCACAATATGGGCATCTAGAGCAGTAATCTACTGTAATTATAGCGACATCCATTATGAGATTACGTCTCTTGTATCTAGCCGCCTTGTCTGAAGGCTAACCTCGTTCTAAACCGACCTAGCTGTGCAAGCGCTGTCAGTAGTAGGCAGGCTGTCAAGTCAATCGCGATTTGGAATCCTAAACTAGTGTGTGGCCGTGTCCAAAGACTCTTTCTTTTGAAAGCTGCCACGAGGCTAGGCCGAACTAAAGATCAAACTAATATGTGCTGCGACTGTATAAAGTGGCAAGGCAAGGTACAATAGAGGAGCCGAATGGGTTTCCCTATCAGCGATCCAGACAAACTACGGTAGTCTACTGTACTATAACCAGGCCCACTGAATGACGAGAAGGAATTTGACTGGACAAAATACGATTGATTAGTTAGTTATGATTTGCCTATGTCAACGTTAGTTTGGTGATCTAGGATGTGATTCATGACACAGCCGCCGAGAAGTGACCGTTGATTGACAACTGATCAAGTACATGTTTTGTTACAGCAATGACGGAGAGAAAGAGGAAATTCGGTATAAGGCGGAGGGTATCGACGGGATTGCTTCCTCCAACCAGAAGAGAAAGGATAGCAATCTCTGCATATACTCTACATTACATGCTGCAGCTAGCATTGGATGCACGTATGCATGGGTACTGTACTGTACAAAAGGAACACAGTAGAATAACAACAAACACTCGCATATGTACACAAGTGCAAGTGCATGAATACGCATTGACACGATACGATACGATACGATACTACGCCACAACTGGGTATTGTAAAGTCCTGTATTATTCTACCCTTTCTCCGTTGCATTTCCCGGCTCCAGTAAGTAGCCGTTGAGCCTGAATAGGATTGAACCTGGTCGCTGGAGGAGGAGGCTTTTCAGAAGGATCATTTAGACTGCCAAACCTCACTTAGTTACCTTAAACTATAGTCTAGTCTAGTACTTTAGCCAAGGACTTGAGACATGATCATCTTGTGGCGGCCGACACGATCCCTAAATAGGACAGCTTGCGAAAGTTATAGTTAGAGAGAGAGCCAGGCAGCTGGGACTTGGACTTGGACTTGCTTGGACTTGGAATATGATCTGATAGAGACCACAAAATTCTCTTCGCTGTATCTATATAGAATGAGGAATAGCCTCCCATCTCTCATCTCAATTGACTAACTAAAATTGTGTAGTAGTATACAACTTGGCTTCCCGGAGGCTTTGCCCGGGGCTGTTCTTCCGACGGACCGTACAGTGAATAGTTCAAGTTTTAGTGCGTGGGCCGAGCCGTTGGGAAGAAGAAAGGTAAGTTCACTGTAACTGTTTGTACCTAGTACCTACCTAGTCACTAAGCACAGCAGCCCGTAGTTTAGTCTCTTGGGCTGCAGTAGATGATCTTCAAGAGAGAGAAAAAGAAAAGAAAAAGTCTTGGTCGGTAACCAGTCAATTCAACTTGATTAATCGTCTACGGGTACAGCACCCAATATCTTACTGTACTCTACAGGGCCAATATCATCATCATTCTTGCATCTTCCGCCTTTTCCCTCTCCCTCTTCCTCTCGCAGAGCAAAACCCGAAAATCTGCATGTCACCAGATGCGGCTCCCGTCAGATCTACCGTATCATCCAAGGCCAAAGTCAGACAGCGACATCGCATATGCACGCCGCCAGAAGCGTCCAGGGAACTTCCTATTCCAGTAACTCCAGTCCACCAACGTCTCCCGCTTTTAATCAGCTGTGCAAGGGCATGAGAGAATAGACAAGACACGGCAGACTTTTTTTTTTTTTTTCTTACTCTTGGCCTAATCGTAGAGGGGGGTAGAATCCCAGTGGCATGGGTACGAGTTGCATTTTTTTGCAAGTTGACGTGTACGAGAGGGTGTGATGCCAGTCAGTATTCTTCTTCTACTCTGCTCTTTCATGTCCCTACTCCTAGTACTTAGTGATTGCATTGTTAGTCAATCTCTAGGGAAAATGTTTCCGGGGGAAAAAAGTAAAAAACAGGGCAATCAAGTAAAAGTAGACGTCACTAAAGCAGAAAACTTTGACCATCCTCGGTCTTATGTTTTCTTTTCTTCCACGCGAGTAACGGTCCTGCATCTTGTGGAGATATTTAATTGCCATCTTAATAGTCCACCCTAAACCCATATCGTCGAGTGGCTACAACTGTAAACCCGGCAGTCTCAAATGATCTATCCCATTGGCTTTCAGAAGAGGCAATCAATTAGAAACTGTACTGCACTGTACTGCTCTCTACTTTACTCTGGCATGTCATCTTCAAAGTGTGGTTACACGCATCTACTGCACAGCACGCGGCACAAGAGTCATGTGTCTCACAGCGCAGCAGAGCACAGCAGGATACAACGCCACGCAGCAACGCACGTATTTACTGTGCAGTGCAGTGCAGTACAGCAATCATACTATCTGTACCTCGTCTCACTTTCCTGACTGTCTTATTACCAGGGTTGCTGAATCAATCGATCCATCAAGGTACAGTACTGTAGTATATGACTTCAGCACGAGGCAACACCACGGCATGACCGTCTCAGCTAATGTTGTATCTGTACACTGTCGACCTGACTCAAGCCAAGAGAATAGTATTCCCGGCCTTGCCGCTTGTTCACTATGCGCAGGTAAGAAAAGCAATCAGCTCGCTAAGGCAGGCAGTGCGTCAGTAACGAACCGCACGATCACATAGAACCACACAATCACATATACATATGCATCATTACAAAGCATGCGTAAACACCTTGTCATGTGTCGTCGTAAGATAATTCCAATTCCAACTCTATCAAACATCGACAGAATTGAACTGACGAGAACTGAATATTCTAAACCCCGCAACTTTCCGAGGGCTATTGCCTCCCAGTTCAGAACCAAAGAGCATATGCGTGTCTACGTACACTGACACTTGATGCACTCAGAAACTCCGCGCTGCTATTCCATGCTATTCAATGACCTGCAAGGAATCAAATGGCTACACAGTAGCCTGTCTCGAAGAGAAGATTGCCTTGCCACAAGAATAACGCCTTCATAAAAGTCCACAATCATCCGTCCCCAAAGAATAAAAAAGGTATCATAATGAGAAGTGAATATTCAACGTCTGTCAAGAGACAGATCAGATGAGCCTACCAAGTGGATGGTCACATCTAGAAAAGAGCAACCATGGCGGCGACCATGGCGGCACCAAGGAAACCTGAGGAGGCAGCGAGACCGTTGGCACCAGCGGTAGGGACGTTTGAAGGAGCCTCAGGGCTTGAAGGGGGAGCCTCGTAACCAGGCTTCTCGGGGGTACCGTGGCTGCTGGGGACAGGAAGCTTGGTGGAGTGAGAGATAGGAGCAGTAGGACCAGCCTTGACGGTGGTGTTACCAGCAGGATAGAAGGTGGTCTTGGGGGCGGGTGCCTTCTTGGTGGTGCTGATAATGGGGGTGTTGACAATGGTAGGGGCCTGGTAGTGGCTGGTGGTGTTGACGATAGGCTCGTAGATGCTGGTGGTAGGAGGAATGTAGACGGAAGTGGTAGGCTCAGCAGGAACCTCGGGCTCAGCGGTAGAGGTAGTCACAACAACCTCGGTGGAGGTATGGGTGCGCAGAGGGCAATCGGTCACGGTAGGGTTGCACTGGGTAAGAGTGACAACCTGGGTAGTGGTCGAGGTGAGAGTTGTGGTCTCAAGAGGAGCAGGAGGAGCGTAGTCCTGAGCAGCGGCCACCGAGGCGCCAGCGGCGGCAATGAAGATGCTGGTGTAGTGCATTGTGATTGTTGTTTGTCTGAAACGAATTGTGATAAGTCTGAAGGACCGTAAAGGATTCTCGTTACGTAGAGCGAAGGAGCGAAAGAGTGCAGAGCACAAAGATTGTTATCAAGAATCAGTTAATGAGAGTAATAGCACAAGGCTGAAGGTATCGTCAAACGTAAAGGTGAACCGGAAAGGAAACAAACAAGTCGTCTGATGCGGATGCTGAGCGAGACTTGTAGTTTTCGCACGAGTGCGGGACCTAATTTCTGCCCATTAAGTCCAACTTCCCACCCCTGCCTGTCTAGTTATTAGACCATGGGTGCGTTGTCACCTCATTATCCCCAATTGATTGGCATTGTTACCCGTCTTATGACTTAGCCCCGGCATCTAAATGGGTTTTCGTACGTGCCACCACACAACGGTACCTTGCATCCATAAAGTCTGCCTATGATTGGGCCCCAGCCAGAATGCAACCCGGCTGAGGATCGGACAGAGCCTTAGCAGCTGCAGTTTTGACTGGCTTGTTCCTGAGCTAGATGCTTATCCCAGTCTAGCTTTGTTCTGGCTCCAATCCGTTCCCTGCAGAGAAGCATCGCTCGTTGGCAAACTGCCTTCGGCTGCATAATATTGACCAATCAGATGTTGCCAGAATTACAGGGACGAGTTTTGCTGGAGCCAGGATGGAGCCTTGCCAACGCAAAGACCATCTACTTTAGCATCGTCTCCCCTTTTTCTTTTGCGTGGTTTGTTGTGGAATGAACATTGAATTGGTAGTAAAAGAAGTCGGTGTGGATTGGTCGACAAATTGCCTTTGTGATCTGTGTGCCAGCAAACCTGTTTGTTCAGATGACTCAATAGACATATCAAATTTTTAAAAACTTTGACCATTATGTGACATTGACATTCATCTTCCTGATGCAGCCAGCGGCGCTAATTGCAGAATTTGGTCGCATCGCTTGATGTAATACAATCTCCCGGGGCCCTTGGCTACTAGTACGTCTCAATCAGTGTCCCACGATGCAGCGCCTGGTCAAGGCTATGAAACGACTTGCTATAGCGCTATTGATGAAAGCTCTCCTGCCACAAATAAATGAATTGAGGATGATGGAAATCAAGTGCCAAGCACAAGGAGACAAAGCCGTGTGACATTGGGTTCGGGGCAAGTCACCAAGAAAGAGGAGCAAATGCCTCATCCAAAGTGCATCCAACAGCCTTCAAGATCGTAGACCAGCATCCAGGACGGATAACCGGAACTTGTTAGTCACTCCGAAAGCCAAGATAGAAGCCTAGCCAAACAGCAGACGACTAGTCAGGGGCGGATCCTTCGTTATTGTGAGCGACACAACTAATGGATCGCAACAGCATTTCGTGCCAATTGAAAAGCATCACGATTGTGGACCGATACACCGCATTAAACAAGAGCAATGAAACGTGCGGAAGAGCAGCGACTGGCTAATAAGGCTAGAACTTGGGTTCAGAAGCTGCCATTCAACATCATGCCAAGATGAACTTTCATCCGGCAGTGTCAATAAATAGATTCTGGTCAGGGTTTACTGCCAACACGAGGTTGTTATCGTGTAAGCGCAGAATTTGGCTTGGCTTGGCTTGCTTTGGATTGCATGTATCCGTAGATATAGCCGGGTAGTTGCTGATACTAATCTAGACCGACCGCTTGGCCAGCTATCTTTAGATCCTTGGTCGGCGCCTTGGTTGTAATGGGAATCGGTTGGTCTAGGGTCTCTAGCGGTCGACAAAGGCGTTTCAAGGCAGATCACGGGAGACAGAATGTGCTGTGTTGTCTAGGCGTTCGTTACTGGTAAACGATTCCGAATTGAGTTGGCGTCCGTGTATGTCTGTGAGCAGCCGTCAATAGAGGCGGACAAAGGCAAGCTAGCTTTATTCGAGGCATCGTGAGACAGAGAAGACAATAGCCAGAAGAGGGGATCAAATTCGGAAGATGTAAGATGAAAATGAGAGAAAGAAATGAATTTGAAAGGCTCGAGAGGATAAGAAACAAAAGGGAAGGGAGAGCTTACGACACGGTGGAGAAGCTCCTTCCTCATCAGCCTCATTCTTATGTCACTATACGAGAACAGCCACAAAAACAAATACAGCCGTTAAGCTGAAGATTCTTACTGAGACAAAACACTATCTAGAATTATACCATAGTGCATTGGCTTCAGACTTTGCTTTTTTATTTTTCCCTCTCTGTATTCTTTTTTTTTTTTGGCCTTTTTCAAATCATCATGACATTGATATCATGAGTTGATGTTCACATTCTTCAGAATGCTACCTGGCATTTGGGTATTAGCAGGGGTCTTGCAAGTAACGTGAATATGAGAAACCTTGGTAAATGGCAAGCAAACACAATGACTAGACTCCTGAATAACCTCACATCGCCCCTGAATTAGTCGTCATGGATATTCAGGTACCGACATTAGGGGACTTTTCATGCAGCAAACTGCCAGTTCAATGCCCCGCCCCCGCATCATGCCTCCAGGTTACAGCGCTAGAATATTCCAGTAAGGAGGTGCTGAGGTCTCCTATTTCTGGAGCAACAGGTACTTTCGCTAGCAATTAGTGAGACACTGTACAGTACCTGCTTACGTAGCTACTTTTATGCAAGCCATCTATCGTTACCATGACAGTTGGCGACGAAATCCAACCCAACTGCCTTTCCTATATCCACTCATGCGAATACCCCTGAAGAACAACTCAGTCTCCTGTCAAATCACACCAAACAGAATCACCATTTAATTGTTAATACAACATGGCAAACTACTTAAACGACCCCGCGCTCTATATCTACACCTCCCTTACTGCCGGCTCATCTCACATTGTTACGGCAACATCACGTCTCGAGACCATCTTACGCGCCAACCGCATCCCCTTCAAAGCTATCGATATCGCCGTCGACACGAAGGCTCGTTTGCTATGGGGCCGAAGAGCCGGTAAAGACTCGAATGGTCGCGCGAGGAAGCTCCCTGCCCTGATTCAGGAGGGCTGGGTTGTAGGCGTATGACAAACCTCCCCCTTGGTGTTACCACGGATCGCATAACTAATGCTTGTCGTTGTTTGCAGGATATTGTAGAAATCGAAGAATGGAACGAACGCAGCGAACTTAAGGAGCAGGTCAAGATTCATTTCGACGAATTCACCATTCCTTCGATACACGATAAGCTTCCCGATGACTCCTTAATGCGACCCGTCTACCCCATGCCCAACAAAGGCCCTGTTTCCCCTGCAGCCATTGCTATGAAATCTGCCGCCAGTGCCGCGGCTGCTGCCGCCGCCTCTCCGAAGCTCGCCCCTACTGCGCCTCCGCTACCCGCGACCAAGACGGCAACCCCTGGTGCAGCAAAGACTTCAACGGCATCGAAGGCGGAAGAGAAGGTCTTACCTGTCCGATCTGTCGCCGACGAAGCTGCGCAAAAGGCTAAAGAGCTTCGCCTGAAGGCTCTGCGAGAGAGAGTTCGCAAAGACAACGAAAAGAAAAAGGATGCAGCAAGCACAGAGGACTCAAAGGCAACCGAAGAGTCCACAAAGCCCGAGGAGACCCCTGTTCAGATCTCGATAGATAGCAAGATAAACGGGATCCAATCACCGACATCTGGATCGTGGGCTGAGACTGATGCAGCACGAGATGCTATTCAAAGCCCGACTAGTGGCACATGGAAGGATGGCAGCTCAGATTCCACCTCCGCCATGAAACGACCCAGTGTTGAGGTGAGCTCGGAAGAATCCAAGGCTATTGAAGCCAAGACGGCAATAAAGGAGGAGCCAGAGTTAGAAAAGAAGGCGGAGGTGTCGGATGACGAAGATGATTCAGAAGATGACACCGAGTCTGATTCCGAAGAGGACGAAGAGGAAGATAGTGACGAGGATAGTGACGATGAAGAGGATAGTGAAGAGGACGAAGAGAAAGTGAAGAAAGAGCTCGAGACAACCACGGCCACAGCTACGGACAAGGTTGAAGACGAGGTTAAAGAAGAGGCCGTTGAGGAGGCTAAAGAAGAAGAAAAGGCAGAGGTGAAGAAAGAGACAAAGAAGGAGTCGAAGAAGGACCCCAAGAAAGATACTAAGAAGGATGCCAAGAAAGATGCCAAGAAAGATGCCAAGAAATCTTCCAAGCACAGCAGCAAGGACACCAAGAAAGAGTCCAAGAAGAGCTCTAAAGACACCAAGAAGGATGCTAAGAAAGATTCCAAGGATCCGAAGAAAGAAGTAAAGAAGGACTCGAAGAAGGATTCTAAGAAAGACTCCAAAAAGGAATATAAGAAGGAGTCCAAGAAATAGTAGGGATGCAGAGTTAAATACCACCCAATCTTTCGGTGTCCTAGATGGGGAACAATAGTGTACAGAGTCTCCTTGAAACTCAACCAAGATACCATCCTGGCGTTAATACCAACATAAACACAAAATGCTCAATCTCCGCTCTACAGTTCAATATACCAGACTACATAGTGCCGTAATATTCCATCTCCAATTAATATAATCCATCGTCATCGCTGGCTGTTCCATCCTGAAAGCCCATGGGGGCCTTTCCTTTACCCTTGGGCTGACCATTCATGTCATCTACCTCATCCTCCTCATCAATCTCGTCGTCGCTGGTCAACGCAATTCCTTTCCCTTTGCCCCGAATAGATCCTGACGCGACTGCTTTCCCTTTACCCTTAGACGACGTTGATGCTCCTGACACAGCCCGTTGGACCAGCGGGGGCTTCTCATCCTTCTCTTTCTCCTTGACTCCCTCAAAGGTGGCCCTGACATGTTCGTAATGGGCCAATTCGCCAGCGCTCACACTAGGAACAAGCTCATCATTAGCAGCAAGGAAGTCTTGCTCTTGGACCATGACAGCGATGTCCTCAGGTGTGGCATAATGGTCAAAATAATAAGCTGTTGAAATGGGGTGGTGAGTTTCTGGATCCGCGTTGATGGCACGGATCTTGTTGTCCACTGCTGTAGCTTGCCGCGTGACAGCCTTGAGCATCGCATCACTGCAGAGCGCATAGAAATCGGCACCGGTATAGGTGAAAGGGAGTTTCTCTGCCACGGATGCGAGAGAAACAGATGGGTGGAGGGTGAATCTATAAGTAGGTTAGTTATCGTACTTTCGCTATATAGACGCATTCGCAAACTCACTTTCTGGTAAGAGCTTCTAGGATAGTTTGCTGCTTATCGTTGGTATCAGAGACACCCAGATACAGCATCTTATCGAAGCGACCAGGACGCAATAAGGCAGGATCCAAAAGATCCGGTCGGTTGGTTGCGCCAATGACAAAGACACCACCGCCACCATCGTCTCCCATGCCATCCAGTTCTGCTAGAAGCTGGGAGACGATACGATCCATAACACCACCGCTGTCACCTTGATTGCCACGCTTTGGCGCAACTGAATCCAACTCATCAAAGAAGACGACGCAAGGTCGGGCATCTCGAGCACGCTGGAACACACGTCGGACGTTGGCTTCAGACTCTCCGATGTACATATTAAGCAGCTCAGGGCCCTTAACACTGAAGAAATTGAGACTGTATTCCGTAGCAATCGCCTTGGCCAGCAATGTCTTTCCAGTTCCGGGGGGACCGTAAAAGAGAATACCTGATCGCTTCTTCATGCCCTTCGCGAACAGTTCAGGTCGTTCAAGCGGCAGTTGAATAGTCTCTGTGACAGCCTCCTTGACGTTGTTGAGACCACCAACGTCGTCCCAGGTGACGTTGGGGATCTTTGGTGCGCCGATGGAGTCGGAAAAGTTCTTGCGCGCAGCTTCCACAGCAATCTCAAAGTCGCTCTTGGTCAGACAGCGGGCGAGGGGACCACCAGCAACCTGCACATCTCGCACTGTTATTATGGTACTCTCCTGCGAGTTCTTCGCTGATAGCTGTTCCAGTCGTGATTGTTGAGCAATAGATGCACGCTCGACCACATCCACTAGGTCACCAGCCACAAGTGCAGCAGTCTTCAGGGCAATTGAGTTGAGATCAATGGATGGTTCAAGACTGACACCCCTGTCACTGATGATAGACTTGAGAATGGATTCACGCTCAGCTTCATCAGGAGCGGTCATCTCCAACTCGTGCGTAAACAACGCCCGAACGCCATCAGGTACCTTATCGACATCACTCGTTGTAGCAATTAAAACTCGGGTATCTTCGAGAATCTCTTTGATTGTAGATTCAATACGATCAGCAGTGAGAGCCTCAACGTGTTGGACAAGAAGGGCACAGCAGTCGGAGCCACAACTCATAGCACGCTCCGCCCTTGTTCTGAGGAAACCCTCAGTCTTAACATCACTTCCACTGCCGCTTCCTTCGCTCAGGATATCGTAAGCATCGATGGTATACGTATGTAAACCCATATCGGAGCAAGCGCCTGACGCCAAAGTTGATTTTCCGATGTTTCGATGCGTGGAGGTTAACAGAATGGCAACCGGTGGCATCTTCAGATGAATTGCTCTTGCGCTCGTAGCAGCTGCAATTAACTCCCTCAACTGGCGTCTGAGAGGTGACACGTAGGGCAATTCGGGCTCTTGAATCGGGGCAGGTGTTGTCTCTGATGCCTTCTTGGGGGTTTTCTTGAGGCCCAGGTAATATTGCCATGTGCTTTGCTTGATGCCAGGAATCCGGCTTGTCTCGAAACCCGAACCGTGCATAGCAACAGACGAACTATCGATGCACGCGACCGATCCCCAGAAAGCCTCAGCACTTCCATCCTCGTCTTCGTCGGATTTCTGAATTTGAATATGTCCAACCTTGAACCAAGCAACGCTGTCGAATGTCGAAGGCTGTTTTCCAGTTTCCTGGCCGCCGGCAGTAAGCGCCATCACGTCGTCCACCTCAGAACCTCCAGCGCCAGGCATCTCTTGCAGCGTACGGCCAAGCTCGGCGTCAACTGGGACAGCAATAAGATCTCCACTCCGAACTAGACGGATCTTCTGGGCAAAGTATCGCTTCAGGCCACCCAACACAGCGGTTTGGAAGGCTCGTTCTGCGGAGATAGGGGTTCTGATGTGGTGAATGGTGATGTCTCGAGCATAAGGAGGCCGAGCAGCGCTGGTAAACCTAGGGATCGTTCCCTTTCCTTGATATGACGATTTCTTCAGAGGCGCAAGACGGAGATAAGGTGTGTCGTCGAGATTGGCCAAGAGGATGGGAGATGCATAAGCAGTAGGGCTAGCAGGCCGTTGGATTTGCGACTCAAAGAAGGATAGCCTTCGCTCGCCGTGTTTGGCACTTGGTATCCTCGTCATGGGTCGCTGCGAATAACCCTCGGGAAGTCCATAAACTCGGACAGGGCGCCACTTGGCGGGTTCAGGCTCGGCTTGCCCAAAGCTCCCCAGGCCAAAGGCACCAAAGCCATTCGTGGGAGGCTCTTCAGCAGCTTCTATCCTAACCCAATCACCAGAGAAGCACCCAATGCGACTCAGGGATGTCACATCGACGTAGATGCGCGCTTCCTCGTCGTCCTCCACTGATGGCTTGGGGTGCAAAATATCTGTCGGAATTTGCTCCATCAGACCCTGAGCTTTGAAGAGGCGGCCACGGGGTCTATCTGGTCGAGCAGTAGTCGCAGTGAAATTGGAGAAGACAGAGCCGGGTGTTGTGATTCCATTCGTCTTCCTGCCGCGAAGGGTTCCAACGGTCATGGGCGTTCCAGGCTGTAATGTCGATACACCACTGGCATTGGTTGTTGGGAGAGTAGGCGCTTGCAGGGAGATCATGTCGTCCATGGAGTCGTCCGATAGCTCGTCTTCATTTTCAAAGTCTGACAGATCTAGTTCTGTTTCGGTGGCGGACTCCATGTCTTCCGTTATCATTCCTGACTTGTCGCGATCCTCAGCTGCAGAATAGAACTGATCTGTGCTAGTATCGTCCTCATCCTCGGCTACGCCATTGAGTTGTTGGCTGGTGGTCATTGAAGCGACACGGCGAATCTGCTTGGTATGGACACGGCCGCGCATAAGAATGATTTTGGTCGATTCCGTTAACACACCTTGAGCAACAGGCTCGCACAGCATGATCTTTCCGGGATTTGGAGGGACATGAGTAAATGGGTGTGGTGGCAGAGGAAGCGGGAATAGATCACCAGCATGGACAACCTTGAGACTCCTCAAAGCAGCCCTAAGAGAAGTCACAAGCCGCTCGTCAGGTGTCGCATCGACGCTCTTCTCCTTGGAGCTTGCGGGATGGTCTCGGTAGAATGTACCTTCACCATTCTCTAGTCGTTTGGTCAATTCGCTCTCCAAGCTCACGAAAACAGTTTCGAGAGGTACAGGCGCAACATCGAGGACCAGAATCTCAATTCCACCACGGCTATGGCTTGATAGCTTGGATGGCGCAACTTGCTGCAAAGTGACAGCGAAGCTCTGTAAAGCAGCGGAAGACGGCGAGAAACGGACGGTGGACGGGGCAATGGCGGAAGACTCTATAATCGGTACGATGGACCACGGGCTATCGATAGGGCTCGCGTTCGGTTGCCATGGAGCGATCGCAATGTGGTGGACGTCTTCGGTGGCACCTTGGTAGAGTTGAGCTGAGGTTTTGTTCTAGTATACACTCGCATTGAATGGTGCGCTCGACTTACCGTTAGCTAGGTGAGGGAAGAGGTCGCGGAAGATGTCTTCGGACACAATGCCGACATCGCTCTTGATATGATCGTCGAGCACGAGTTTGGCATTAATGGCCGGCTTGTCTTGACGACGTCTGCGATTCCGTCGCTTGATTGTGGTAGAAACCTGCTGCGAAGACGATGCCATTTCGCTTACAGTTAAAGCTTGGGGAGATGACGGTAGATGGCGGTCGAGGAGGACACAGGTACGGATGGAAGCTCGAGTCGCAAGCGCGGGGATCACTGCATCGCTCTGGGCAGCTTTCCAATGGCAGAATCGCAGATACTAAGCAGACAAGCAAAAGGCAAAGAGTCGCGTGTAGACAATTGTATAGAAAACAAAAACAGAACCGCGAGGAGATGAAAGTATCTGGAGGTTAGGAATACCTCAGAAATTGAGTGGCTTCCCTTTCCCTTGTCGTTCGGCAGCGGCTCAGGGCGACCGAAGAGCCAGTGGCCTGCCTCGGCTTCTGAGTTGGGGTAAGGTTAGTAAGTGGTAAGTGCGACACGGGGTCGCTACCGCCCCGAGGTACGTACCCATACCGAGTTGACCGTGAACTCCTCCGCGTTCGGGGAAGCGAAGCTCAATCCGCTCAGTCCGGCTAAGGTATTAGATATAGATTTTTTATTGGAGAGTATTTACTCACTGAATTATGAATTGAATGATATTTATCTCCTTCTTTCTCATTGAGGCTTTAATTGATATCTCAATGCAGCTATAGGTATGTTTTATAGACCATCTTGATATTTTAGCACTCACTACTGTACCCAGTTGACCCGAGCGTATAGGTACAGTAGGTACAGTACTGTAAAAATGACAGACGGGTATCAGTCAGCGGTTCCAAGCTCCAAACTCCAGACTGGGGTAACAAAGCCAAGTCTCGGGTTGGTCAACGAGTGGCGAGACCCTGGTACAGAAGATAACCTAGACCTCCATGACATTTGGAGAAACGAAACACAAGATCAACGTTTGTACATTACAGCTGAATGCCACAAAACATGGTGTCTCGAAGCAGGGCAGTGTAATGCAAATCAAGGGTTAGCATTCATCAATTAGACACCCACAGAGATAGTGTGTGTTTCTGGCTGAAACCTCTGATTCAACCACCAACTTTCTAAGCATCATATTGTGGATGCAATCAAGATAATCGAATCCGTTTCTGTTTGCAAAAAGAATCTGTCCAAGCCACTAACACACACCCCAATTGTCATAGACATCCATCCGTCAGCTCTCTTGGCCGTTGGCAGTGCGGATTCAATACTATTGCAGCAAGATCAACATGAAAGACAGCTGAAATTAAGCCTTTGACCCCCTTTTGACAAATTAACAAGCAACCTTCACATGCTTTTAAGCAAGGATCATCGCCCATTAAAGTCGCGTTCCCGCCACAAATCCGGCTGTCTGGCCAAAAACTCTACAACGAGACTTTCCCATGACGCAACGCCTATCTCAGTGACCATTCAGAGCTGATTGCCCTGTCATCTCCATCCGCTGAGTTCTTGAAATAATAACGCCGACCAGCCTTCTTTTGTAACTTTTTAAAACGGTTCTGCTTTTCCATTATAAACAAAATAGACGGCCAAGATTCGGTCTAGACTTTTCAATCATACTTACAACCTTTTTATCACGCCAGATTCTTATACACCGCATCGCAAACGAGAACAACATCACCAATCGGTCTGTCCACTGAATGAGTTGTTGGGCGTATTTCGGCTGATCCGATCTTGTTATGATCCCACTCCCCTCCCCCGATCCTTGATACTCTTTTGCATTGGCGATCTACGGTCTGGATTTATATTCTTATCGGCCCCTGTCAGACATGCGCATATTCCCTGCACGGTAGTTTTTCCTTTGCGACACCCATATAGAGACGCAGCAGTCGTTCTTATTTATTTCATCGACTCGCTCCCGAAATATACTCATCGGGCATTCGTTTTGCATTATCATTGGCCAAGAGAGCCAATCCTCGACATCAGTACCATGGCACAACAATCCCAAGGCTCGTCCACCGCGACACAAGAGCACCATCCCCGAGTCCTCGGCAGGAAATTGGCCGAAACAGCCGTTCAATTCTCACAACAGGCCGAAAAGCTCTCTCATCAACATCCAGCATACAATTCTGGCGTCGCTATAGAAGCGCAATTTGTCACGCCTCACGATCCTGTTATCGTTACTTCAGATGGCAATCGACTCCCTGGCGTGCCCTTGCAAGAAGCGCACAAGCTCAACGTGCTCCGCGAAGAACTTGAAGGCGAACCTGAAAGTGTCGAGATCAAGGAGGGTGACGAGACCAAGGAGAAGATATCCAACGTCGAAAATGCGGAGCCTGAGCAGAAGAAAGTTGTCCAGGTACCTTCTGAACACAACGGCGCATCCCTCCAAAAGTCAAGCAGCGTCAATAGCACACTGCGAAGACAAACTCCTCCGTCTCACACAAATCCTCTCTTCCCTCCATTGCCACTATATGGGCCTCCCAATGTACTGCGCAACTTACAATGCTTGTTCTTTCGAATCAGCGCATTCTTCCTTAGCCTGGCGTTTCTTGGTGTTATCGTCCTGGGCTCATTGTTCACGACAATACCAATAGTTGTCAACAATATCTGGTATCGAGTCACCTTTCGCAACCCTGATGCTCAAAGGCCATTCTACGAGGAGGAGAAACGCAGAGCTCAAGCGAGACGGGAGCAGGAGCAAGCCTGGAAGCACAAGTCACCCAATGGATTGGATCGGGCGGAAACAGCTCAAGAGTTCCCGCCGACTGAGGGTGGTCCTGATCCGATCATTTGCGATGTCGCCTATTACGCACGTAGGGTTGGTCTTGACGTTGAGACTTTCGAGGTTCAAACCGAAGATGGATTCATAATCGACTTGTGGCATGTTTACGACCCGAAAGAGTATACTGAGTTGGAAGAGAGTTTGCGATCCGACCAAGGTCCCGAAGTGTTCCAGCGCCAGAGAAGAAAGTTCAAAGACCCATCGCAGAAGCCCAAATTTCCTGTGTTGCTCATGCATGGTCTACTACAAAGTTCAGGTGCCTACTGCTGTAACGATGACGAGTCTCTCGCCTTTTGGTTGTGTAAGTCTGGCTACGACGTGTGGCTCGGAAACAACCGTTGTGGCTTCAATCCCAAGCATGCGCTGCTTGAATACAATGACCCGAGGATGTGGTGTTGGAACATCAGACAAATGGGTGTTTTCGATCTACCGGCCTTGACATCGCGAGTCATCACAGAGACGGGTTTCGAGAAGATCGGTCTCATCTGCCACTCTCAAGGAACCACCCAAACCTTTGTCGCATTAGCCAAAGAGCAACGACCCGAACTTGGCGAGAAGCTGACGGTTTTCTGCGCTCTGGCTCCAGCTGCATACGCTGGCCCACTCATTGGCAAAATGTATTTCAAGTTCATGCGTATTATCTCACCAGGCCTATTCCGTCTCATGTTTGGCATCCATGCATTCATCCCCTTCATGATGCAGATGCACAAAATATTGGATCCGCGCCTGTACGGCTGGCTTGGCTACAAGGTATTCTCTTTTCTTTTTGATTGGACTGATGCGCGCTGGGACCGTGGCCTTCGCAATCGCATGTTCCAGTTCGCACCAGTTTACGTCAGCGCAGAGTCGATGCGATGGTGGCTTGGTCGAGAGTGCTTTGCCAAGCACAAGTGCATTTTGTCTACCAAAGAGATTGTCAGAGCTGAGGAGCATATGGATACCAAGGCTGATGAACGACCCGTGACACCAAGGACATCGTCAGCACTCGAGGCTCATCGAAAGCACCCCAAAGGTTCTACTGCGTGGTATAATGAACAAGCACCGCCCATGGCATTTTGGGTAGCTGGAAATGATGATCTTGTTGATGGCAAGAAGCTACTCCGGCGATTTGAGAAAGGTCGTGAACCCCACGTTGACCTGGTTCACAGCAAGGTTATTCCTGAGTATGAGCATCTGGACGTCATCTGGGCCATGGATGCAGTTGACCAGGTTTTCAAGGAAGTCAGAGAGGTGCTGTGGAAAACCTGTAATGCACGCGACATCTGTCGAGTCCCTGAGGGATGCGAGGCAGTGCAAGAACGAAAGCACAACGTGGCCATCAACGAGGAAGTGCTAGATGAGTCTCAGTCGAGTAGCAGCGGCGAATCATAAGACACATCGGAAAGGAAATATATACACGATTTAAATGAGACAACACACGCCATATAGAAGAGAAGGAAAAGAATACACAAGGTACAGGAAAGGAGTTGATTTTTGGGTTTATTTGGGTCAAAGTTATGTTTTAGATACCTCTTGCTGGCCTTGGACATCAACACTATCAGAATACCTCGGGCTGGGTTTCAAGTTTGGGCTGGTGTTGTTTCAAGGGCGTTGAGGTAAATGCGAAATGTTATATCCGTTAAAGTAAATGGGCATTTTATAGAAACAACAGTAATGCATGAGCCTCATACCACAACATAGTGACTGCGCACCTTTCGACGACCGGGCGTATTATGGACGTTGCATTTTCTTTCATACACTTGTACTGAAAAGGCTGATGCCAACCGAAGCCACGATCGTTCAGGTTCGAGAGGAAAGTGAAGGAAAAAAGATTTGATCATCTGGTACTAATCAATCGAGATTGTCAAAAAAAACCTGCAAGGGAATTACAGGAAGGTGATTGTTTGATCGAAAAATCAGAATTAATGACGAAGATGTAGAGTACCGGGTAGGCTAAATTATATCGTATGATACCTATTTATTTTACAGAAGTTTCGATAGTATAACACGGCTGTTGCTTCGCTCTTTCATATCGTGTCACCCATTTACTACGAGATCAACTCTCATAGCTCGTGCCTGTTCCTTTTCACTGATCACCCCATGCGCTCAGTCTCTTCCAGGAGCTTGTCAACGCTGAATCGCTCGTCACCGGCTGCGAACCAGTTCAGCAGCTTCTTTCGTTCCTCAGCTCTGTCATTACGCTCACCACTCGACTCAGCGTTCTCACCTTCCCATGCACCATAGAATCGCTGTAGAGACATAAGAAGCCACTTGGCATTCTCTGGTGTGACACCTCGGTCAGGGAGGACCTGGCCTTGCATCAGAACAAGACCTCGGTCATCGGCAAGATCCATGTGATGAGTGACGGTGGTATGGGGCTGCGCAAATTCGCCTCGGTTCTTGTACTCCGCGAGTTGGGTGAAGAGAACAGTGGTTGTCTTGGACTCAGCGTCAAATGTCCACTGTAGAAAGTGAATTTCGGCACCTTGCGCAGGGTGTGGCACGGGGAGAACGAATTGGGGGGCCTTTCGTGCAGCATCCTCCATGGTCTTGTATGTAGATGTAGGGATCACGGCGCAGAGATTCTGCTCAGATGAGGCATGTAGTAGACGCCAGACATTTGTAAGCTCCTGGTCAGGGAGCTGTCGCACCTTGGGGAGGTCGATGATGTCACCCAGTGTCTTGATAGCTGGCTTATCAGCGCCAGTTGGGGGACCCTTAGGAGGTGATGTGGGAGCATCGCGAGGATCTCTAGTAGGCTCGTCTTGTCCAGGAGGGTTGTCTGCGTTGGGCTGAATGATTGGAGTTTCGGGTGCTTGGGGAACGGTTCCCACAGGAATCTCAATAGTATTCTTACGACGTTCGGCATCGATCTTGTCGGCGTAGGCAGCCTTGAGCTGGTCAATGCTCTCGAGGCCTTCATTTTGGGCCTTCTTGGCGAGCTTCTCTTTGTACTTCTCGACGATAGCTTGCGAAGGTTGAGTTGTTGCGAGGAAACGGATATCGTGGACTTGAGCCCATCGTCGCTGGTTGATAGCTCGAGTAGTGCGTAGTGGAGTGGCGATAAGCCGACGGAGGGCTGGGATTCGTAGCGAAGCCATAATGGGAGGTCAATTGAGTCGATTGAGTCGATAGGATGACCGTTGAATGTATCGACCTAGCTTTGCTGATGGTATAATTTGGAGACGATGACGGAGAAAGATTCGATGCCTTTTAGCAAGGACAAGGGTCAGCCACTAAAATTCCGGGGGCTTGGGCCTGTCGTCACTGAACGTAGTGGGGCCGCGTTTAACGGAATGACGGGGGCACCTCCGACCTTGAATTTGGCCGGCTTCGGAGTTGTTCACTATCGGATGAATGATGACAAAGAGGATTGCAGCAATTGGACCAATCTGATGAGACTAATTAATATCTGAAAACTTGAGGAAACCTGCATATCAAATCTGGATCTCGGTTTTATAACGTCGCATCGCATTCTTTTTATTTAAGCAACGAACCTCATAGCATCAACTATCTACTAACCTAACATCAACTTGAACTACCCCGCCATAGACACCGCTTTTGGTGGGCATCGACTTTCTGCCATTTGCGCATCGCATCGCATCGCAAACTCGAGGGGCAAAGTCACTGCCTTTCTTGTTCAATTCATTCTATTTCTCAACTTTACACAGTCTCAGTCACGGCTCAGATACTAGAGAATATCTAACAGTGTTCATCATGGCCGACTTTAGGCAATGGGCTCTAGAATTCGTTCTCGCCGATAATGAGGGGCAACAGACTGCGATAGCTCAGAAAGCTGCGAATGGTATTTTAAAAACCACAGGTTTATGTTGGAGAATACACTCAACTAACTTGTTCAGAAATTCAGACTGCTCCTGCAAACACCAATCCGTTGGCACGATGGGTCGAGGCCGTGCAACCTTGGATGCCAGGAGGTGGCAATGAAGCCGAAAACGAGACACCAGACTGGACTGCCAGAGCTAAAGGTGAGAATCAATCTGTATTGCAATGCGTGACCTTCTGTGCTAATAGTAACAGCTCTGGAATTCTTGGCTCGGACTTTGGACTTTGTGGGCAAGGATGTTCTAAAACCCAGCCAAGGTAAGTTATAACTCACAAAGATATCCAAATCAAGTCTAACAGGAGTGCAGTAAAACTGCTAGTCAGCTTCTTTGGTGCCATGTTTGAGGTTGATCACAAAGCCGGTATCATGCCCTCAGCAACCGCTCTGTCTAGGATAGTCGTCATGAAGTCCTTCCAACGCCATATGGGACATGACATTATCCAAAAAGTCTGCTCTCTGAAGGATGACTTCCCCAGACAAGTGGCCAAGACAAGACTTGAGATTTACGAACTCATAAGACTGCTCATGACAACTCCTGGGGTGGCGAGCGATTTGCAGAACACACACGGTTCATCTTCTGGCTTCATGCTTGATTTGATACAACTTTGCCGAAACGAGCGAGATCCTGAATGTTTAATGGTGTGGTTTGACATACTCAGACTGTTTATGTCTGAATACAACGTTTCGCAAGATGTTTTGGAGGAGGTTTACGGAGTGTTCAAGCCATACTTCCCAATTTCACTCCCCAGAGCCTCACAGGTTGCAATTACTCCTGAAGAACTGAAGCTGCAGCTACGGAAATGTTTCTCAGCGACCAGGCTATTGGCCGACAAGGTCTTCACCTTCCTGCTGGGCAAGCTTGACCAGGGCGATGCTGTTACCGTGAATGTGAAGGTGAGTAAACACATCAATTCTTCTTAATTGAGAAACGAGAGCTAACTGTTCTAGATTGATATCCTGAAAACCATGCAAGCATGCTTGGACGAGTACAGCTACCCTCAGAAATCAATTGCCCCCTATGCCAGCCAAATCTGGGGCAGCCTCAAGTACGAGGTCCGAAATGGAGAGATCGAAGATACTATTTGGAGCACATTAGAAGTCCTCAAGTCTCTTACTCAAAGACTAACTGGCGACAACCTCCGCGACCATACGCTCACTGTCACACGAGACTGCGTCCCAGATCTTGCAACGACGATGTATGCCGCATCCGCTGGCCGGCTGATGATCAGCATCCTGAGCTCTAAACCGGGCGCGTTTGTATTGATGGCAGCTCCTATTCTCACACACATCAAGGAGAACCTGCGCCATCCCAAGGCACCTGTGCATAGCCAAGACCTCCACAAGGTTCTGCACGTCATATTAGAAACCCGACTCCTCCTCACGGACTCCAACATGACTGCCGAGGAGCGGGAAGACTTTGCTGCCATCGATGGATTCTTTAAATCTCTCTACAACGAAGTTTACAAGAGCGCAATCGGCCTTGGATCCAAACAAGATGCCTCGTATGACGATATTAAGGTCGCTTCCCAAGCAGTTCAGGGCGCTGGAGCTTTGATTTGCCAAAGACCCGCCAAGTCTTCGGATCCATCAAACACCGGTGCAAGCGCTACTTCTGAGCGTCTACTCCCCGAGGAGACATGTTCAGAGATTTGTGAATCTCTCTTTGCAATCCTCAAGGGATCAGGCCCAGAATACCCTCGATCAGCTGGCGGCGACGAACTCATCAATGAAACAGCCAAGGCACTCCAGCGGGCGGTGCGTTTATTCCCTCGCGGTTTCAACGGTCTTGTGGATGAAAGCATAGCTATAATTCGCACCGCTAGACAAAATTATGGGATAGTAGAGGTGGTTGAGACAGTCACGACTCTGGGAGGTCTGATTGCGTTCGTGGGCTCTTCTGAACTACCCGAAACACCTCGAGACGGATTTGACCATTTCGTTTACTCTGTCAGTGTATTTCTGTCAGAGCTTTTCGAAACAATCCAGTCACAGTCAGACCCTCAGATCTGGTGTGCTTTGGCAGCTACAGCTCAATCTATTATTCGCCATTTCAACGATGCTTGCCTGTCAAGCAGCCCTGACAAGAATCTCCCTATTGACGGAGAATCCCTACAGGCAATTGGCGCCGCTTACACTAACCTGAGTCAGCTTGGTGATGGGAAGCCAGTTGAGTCTTCTGTGGAATACCACAGCCGTGTCTCCCAGACTTCCTCCGTCGCAGAGATCAGGAACGAATTCCTACTAGTCACCCTATTTGTCGCAAGACAGCTTTATAGACGTGCAACCAAGGTTATCGATACGCACCCTCAGACAGGAAAGCAAGCTCTTAGCCTAAGCGACGATTTCGCCAGTGTCGACCAAACCACTGGACACCAGTATCTTCATCTTATTTCTACCCTAGCAGGTTTCGCCATCCATGAGTTCAGTGAAGCTCAACAGACATCACTCAAAGTCGAGAATTTTGCGATTACTCTATTCAGAGAGGATTATATTACAGTTCCCCAGACTCAAGCGGATGCACAGCCAGTGTTAGAAAACGGCTCATCCTGGGTTTGGTTAGCATCAGAGGCACCCAATGTTCTGACCCTCGGTGCGCTGCAAGCTTTGCAGCCATCGGCAGTAGCACGTCTGGTATGTTGACTCACCATACATCTTTTATCCTCTCGGCTGCTAACCTGGATCCAGTTCGATAACGGAGTCGCTCAGGAGTTGATCCTTAGTGGATTCGCTGCGGACACAAACTTTAGCAGACCAGTGACACTGTCGATCCTCACCATCTTAGCAAACAAATACAAGATAGAGGCTTTACCAAGTCTCGTGGCGGCTCTCGAACAACGCACACCGGCCTTGTTGACGACATCCGAGAACGAGAACTCTCGATTGGAGCAAATCACGTCTATCTATGCCCTCATGGCAGGAATGGTGCGACGATATAGTGGCAAAGAAGCCAAGGCATTGCTTGATGTGGTAAAGGACTCACCTAAAGATCCCCAATTGGGCGCTGAACTTGCACGCCGGCTTGAAATGATCGTGGCTCCTCAACAACCACTTACGAAGGAGAATTATGCGATCGTCAAGCCTCTCTGGACACAAAAGGTGTACTTTCAGCTAGTTAGCTCCATGCTGCAAGCCGCTACTGGAAAGGATGCCGACATCCAGGCTCAGCAAGCCAAAGCCAGCTATAGCACCGCTGTCCTGCTTATGGTCAAGCACATGAGCTTCGCTATTTACGAAGCCGACGCAGACAACATTCTCAGGATCTCCATCGCTGTCGCCCAGAACAGCGGCATGGGTCCTGAGACCAAGGCTGCCCTTGATGTGATCAAGAATATCCTCACAGAAGCTTCCGAGAAGGGCAAAGGCCATATCAGAAGCATCATCAAAATCTGCAGCAGCGTGTTCTCATACACACCCCAGTCCACAGAAAGCGTAGACATAGAGGGTGCTTGCGGAAAGCTCGCGCTGGAGATTGTGGGAAGTCTGCCACGCACTTACGACTCACAGCATTTGATACCGCATGCGCCTCAAGTGCAGCGACAATTGACATTAGTCTGTGGACACCGGGTGAGAGAAGTAAGGAAGACAGCACGGCTAGCTAGAGCGGCCTGGGCGGATCTCAAGTAAAGCAGTGGAATTTTCTAGATATAGACAATGTACCTTGGAATATCAGCATTAAGTCTTGTACCATTGGCAGAGAGCGGCTTAACAAAAAGAGGAACGATTGACATTCAAGTTTATACAGCTACACATCAACACGACAGCAAAATTCAATATGAACGACCCATACTGCAACATAATACTGGCCACAGCCTTAACAAGTGTGATAACAGTACGTATATAAATTCCTATAAACGCCGCCAATCTAGAATCCGCATCGTGGTTCGATGAATAGCACCTCCAACTACGCCTTGCTTTATCTGTTTTTCCGAATTGCTCGCCGCGTTATTCTCTAAGCGCCACGTCGCTTCGCTGCCTTGGTACCTGTCGCATCAGGGGTCTCAGATCCAGTAGCATTCGCGTTAGCCGCAAGGATAGCATCGAGGACATCAGGACTGGCATCCAACAGCTCCTTGGAAACAGTGACACGCTTGGGGTCCCTCTTTCCTATCACAGGAACCGCATTGGCGAGCATTGACTGGAAGGGAACGGCGACAAACTGACCAGTCTCGTCGAACCACTCGCTGAAAGGCTTAGAGACCTTGTATACGTTGGACTTGGAATTCTTATCGGTGACGGTAACGGTGAGGTTGTAGATGGGGACGTTCTTCTTGGTAGAGCTGGCAATAGAGACCTAAAGGATATATTAGAGGTATGCACATCAAGACCCAGAAACTTTGCCATACCTTCTCTCCCGAGGGTGAAGTTCCCTCGTAGATAGTATCCTTCTCCTTGAACATAATCCATAGTGTCATGGCAGTGTTGATCAAAGTGTAGAGTATAACAGCAGCAGCTGTGTAGTGTTTTGTCGCCTCATGGCCTAGCTTGTAATCCCAAGCGAAACAGGCGGCTGCGATACCGAATGCACTAAAACCGAGTGCGAGCCGGACATCAGTTAGGCTATGGGACTGTTCGACCTTGAGAGAGTTGAGGTAGTTGGGAATGGCATCATTGGATGTGTTCTTGAGGTCTGAATCGCAAAGAGCCACCGTGTCAGAAGCTTGCCATATAAGAAGGGTTCAAGCGATGGTAACTTACCAGCCAGGTTATAGACTGGAATCTTTTCGGCGGCGTTCGCCATGATGATTGATAAGTCTGAGTTGACTCAGACTAGAGAAGCGAATTGATGTGGAATGTTGTCAAGAAAGTAGCCGATCTTTAAGTGCATGAAGTATTGAAGCTCACTGTCATAGGGAAATCTAGTATCATGGGGCTGAGGCATGTGGATAGCTGTCCCTTCCTGACAAGAACTAACCCAGAAGGACCCCCAGTAAAGTGTGGCGGCTCCAGGGTCGTGAGTTCCATTAGGTAGTGGACAGCCACCAATGAAGAGCTCCGCCCACTTGTGGCGTCGGCCGCCTTGAATCGTGGCTATTTGGAGACGTTGAACCTCACATCTCCAACAGCTTCATCGTAACGCGACATCAGCTTCGCCATTCCTGCATTCTTAATCGCACGCCTTTGACTGTCGAAATCATGGCGCAAGTTCCGATTCAGACCCTTCATAGGGATCCTCAGTTATTGTACGGCAGTTCCCAATCGATCCGTCATCGACCCAATTCACTGACTTGAGCTCCCAGCTACTGGATCCTTATCCCCATTACCATCGTGATGGTCCTTACTGGTGTTTTACGTCACTATGCATCGGTTCTTATGGCATCTGCGCCTAAAAAGCAGGACGAAAAGACCATGCGCGAACAGCGCTCTCTTGCTCGCGGTGTAGCTCTTCGTTCCAACCACTATGTCCTCTCTCAGAAGGCTTTCGAGTCCCGACGTGATATTCTTACGACCAATTACGACGCTGGAACATATCTCAAGGAGCCCGACCGCAAGGGACAACCTCCTGCCAACCCCTTGTCCGACCCTAGCGCTATGGACGGCATGATGGGCATGATGAAGAACAACATGGCCATGATTATTCCCAACACTCTCATCATGAGCTGGATTAACGCTTTCTTCAGTGGTTATGTCATCAGTAAGTTAATTGGTTTGTTGCAACGACTTAAGCTAATGGTATTAGTGAAACTGCCTTTCCCAATCACCATCAAGTTCAAGAGTATGCTCCAGGCTGGAGTTCAGACCAGAGAGATGGATCCCCGATGGATGTCTAGCATTAGCTGGTACTTCCTCTGCATTTTTGGTCTTCAGTTTGTTTATGTCTTCCTCCTTGGTAGCGATAATGGTAAGTGACCTTCACAAAAGTCGATGTCGCCAATATCTAACCCAGAACAGCTGCTAGCCAAGTTGCCCAGCAAATGCAGGCCCAGCAGATGCCCAACCCCATGATGGGTGGCCCTGGCCAGGACCCTCACAAGCAGTTCGTTGCTGAGATTGAGAACTTGAATGTTGTTGAGCATTACTCTGTTTTGGACAACGTCGAGGAACGTCTTTTGGCGGGTATCAAATCGTAGATTCATAGAACGAGCAAATGTATATACGCCAAATACAATGCGGTGACATATCCTTCCGGGGCCTTTCTCCTTTTGCACAGCTTATAGTCCATTATTCGTCATTATGCTCCGTCCCACCAGAGGCAGACACCAAGTCCTTCAGCAGCCATACTGGCCTTGATGCGATACGGTGTTTTCAAAGGCGAATCCTCCGGTTGAGTTGGTCCTGCAGGGGCTTGGTCATGCCACTCCTCGTCGATGACTTGGAAGCGAACCATTTCATGATTATCATAGAATAGACGATCCTCCTCCAGATTCCAGATCCAGAGTTGTTCGCTGTGGTTGCTGTACGCCGTTAGCTTCTCTCTTGGTGTGAAAGACAACGAATGAATGCCATACTATTCGGCCCCCTCGGGCAGTTCCTCGAAAGGCACAAAAATGTCGTCGAAAAAGTCTGTCCTCAGATTGATTCCTGCAGGCGTAGAGCTTCGTATTCTGCCAATCATAACTTCACCTTTAAAAGGTCGGAACACAACCATACGGAATTCAGCTATGACGTTCGTTAGTCTCGCTTCTAAATCATAAAGGCATGTTACGAACCATTTACGTTGACCAGACCTGTGCCGTGACCGATGAGACCTTCTGACGCCCATTGCAAGTCGTACAAGCAGATGCAGAGGCCAATCTTCTGGATTACCTATTTCTTTCACTTAGTTATCAATTAATACATCTGGCCTCGTAAGAAACCCTACCTTATTAGAGTATTTCGCATTGATGTTGTCTTCAATTGCATCAGCGCTTCGCTTTGAGAAATCTTCTGGCGCAATTTGCACCAAGTCGGCAATCTTGGTCTGCATGGCTTGTGAGTTTGGTCACAGGCAAGATCTTTGGTGGGGGACAACTTACTAAGATGAACATTTTGATTCAAGACTCCGCTCAATTTAAGCCTGTACGATCTTACTGTTGGAAAGAAAGAATTGATATTTAACTGAAAGTATGAGAATCGACAGAGGAAGTTGGATTCGGCAAGACCGTTACGAATTGCCAATCACTTCAGTCACGAACAGTTGCTCAGCATGGATCTCAAGGACCTTGGGCGCGGCAGAAAAATAATGCCAGTTACACTAAACTTTTTCCAGTTGCTCTGTCAGCAAAAATGCTACACCGCTTTCTAGAAAAGTACTAGTGCATCGACTGCCGCAGCATGCAGGGAAGGTCGTCACAGGCTTGCGCCGCAGAATGAGCTCCTTCCGTCTTTTAACTTCATTTTAACCATTGCCGTACCTTCTTTTTTGGAAAGCAGCATTATCGATATCTTAGGCCACCGCCATATCCTAGGTCTTGCCTGGACTCCCTAACGGTTTCAAGGCCATTCTTACCTTCGCTCTATTATTCTCGATATCAATTTTTCTCTCTCTCCTTTTTTATGCTGAAAGTCGAATTTCGTTCTCCGATTCCAACATCACTCAAGCTTGGGAGACTCCCAAGATTCATTGTACATTTTAATCTTGCAATCGTCAAATATTCACGGAACCGTTGATCAGTCAAGCAATAGGCGAGCTACAGCCGTAATTCAGCACGCGATTCCGTCGTTTCGAGAACCAAGTTCATTCGCCTTGAGGATCCTCTATCTGCGATAACCAATACCAATTCTCTTTCGCCATGTCAGGGTACAATTACGGTCCACCACCACCTCCGCCTCCAGCTTCTTCCGGAGGACCTGCAAGCTACGGTCCTCAAGCACCATCTTACCCCCAACATGGCCAGGGCCGGGGAGGGCATCACGGTAGAGGACGCGGTGGCCATTATAGCGGTGGCCGTGGTGACTACCACAGTTCGCCTCCAGGTCGTTATGAATACGGTGGTCAGCCATACCCTCCTCATCACAATCCTCCCCCATATGGCGGCGCCTCTCACCCTCCTGCTTATCCTCCTCAACCACAATGGGGACCGGAGCACGGGCATCCTCCTCACGGACATGCGCAGGGCCCTATGCCTCCCAACACCTATCATCCTAACTACGCCGCCCAACCATACCCGCCTTCCCAATATCCACAGCAACCTCCTTATGGTGGACCACAGGCCTATCCCTATCAAGGACCACCTCCTCCCCCGAATCAAGCCCAATGGACTGGCGGTGGACAGCCACCAGGAGGCTATGGTGGAGGGAGATCGCGCGGAGGTTACAATGATCGCAATGGACCAAAGCCTCCAATGAATGGTCATGGGCGCCCAGGTTATGAGCATGAAGCCATGCCACCAGCCAACGTCTATGGCCAACCATATCCCCATGATCCCCGAGCAGTGCATTACCCTCCCCCGCAGTATCCAGCATATCCTGGCCCTCCTCCGCCTTCTGGCCATCACCAGGATGGATACTATGGCCATACCAACCGTCGAGGTCGAGGTGGTTTCCGAGATGGAAATACCCGTGGACGTGGAGGCCACCATGGCAATGACAAGTCGCGTCATCAGAAGCATTCACATGGGCAAACCGATTCTAATCACAACAAGTCCGAAACCCCCACCTTGGGAAAGAAGAAGAAGCGCAAGACAAACACACTGGGCTTGACCCCTGGCATGGAATCAGAGTCTGAAGACGACGAAGGGGAAGAGAAAGTTTTGACCGATTGGCTTGGACAAGAAACACTAAAGTAAGTTGAGCTTCTCTCCGCGCTACGACTGTGCTAACGATTACAGCCCCAAAGATGTTGCCGCTTTCCTGATAGAAAGAAAGAAGCATTTCCCCACAAAGGCCAGAGTAGAAGCTAAAAAGAATGCCGAGGTGGCAGAAAATGGCGAAGACAAGGCTTCCTCGCTAGAGAAACAGGCCGACAAACTCAGACGACAGCTGCGCAAAGTTGAATCATCGATTAAGCGAAAACGTGAACAAGGCGATGAAGGTGATGAGATGCGAGACCCATCTGAGGAGTCTTCAGATGACGAGCCAGAAGTTATGTCTACTCGTTCACACGTGGCTCCTCCACCTCCACCACCGGCCAAGAAAGCCGACGTCTCTAAACATTGCAAATATTATTCCACTGGTGGAACATGCGGCAAGAAGGGCAAGTGCCGCTTCGTCCACGATCCTGAGGCTCGCGAAGCAGCTATGAAGGATCGTGAGGCCAATAACGGACGACTCACTATTCAGCAACGATTGATTCTCAACGACAAGGAGCAAGAGGATCTTACTGTTCTTCAGTCTATTCAGTATCTCCGTAAAAAGGGGTTGATGCAACCTGAGGATCCCGAGATCAAAAAGGAGGCAAAGTCTGCCAAGCCTGATCTTCCTGCGCATCCACCCCCTCCAAGTCTGCTTCCTGCTGCATCAGCTTCGTTGCCTCCTCCTCCTATCAAGCGCGAGCCAACCTTGCCTCGTCACAACCCACCTCCGTCCAGCGTTCCCGGTGCCAACAGTAACAGCACTCAGGGAGTCAAACCTTATCAAGGATGGACCATGAGACCTTACGGGAGCACGAGCAGCAAGTCAGCCAAGGGCGACGATCTGCCTTGATTTTTAAGCTCTCAGCGTCACTGAGCTATTATGTCTAGTCCCTCGGCGGTCTACGAGTTGGTTCTTCCATCTTCTTCCGGATAGTTGTCCTGAACTGAAACAGAACCGAATCTCCTGCATGAATGGTGTACAAAGTCTGGCTATAGAGTTCAGTAAGCTTAGTCGCGGGACTTGCTGCAGCATCTTCAAATCCCATAGAGGTGCTCTGTTTTTTATCTCTTTTTTTAAACTTGGTTTGTGAAGGCGTTGGAAGGACCAGGGACAAGCGCGTCTCATGGGTAACGGAAGGCTTGTTGTCCAAGGCTTCGGGGCTAAAATTAAGTAACATAAATATTAGTTTAGAGTGAGTAAATTATTTCGTCTTTTGATCTTAACGACGACCAATTCTTATGCTACCTTTACGGGGAACCAAGTTCTAGACACTTTGAAATCTAAATATTACATACTGTGCCTGTTGTACCTCTCCTGCAAGTGATGTTCGTATATCTTCATTCCGCTATTATAGTGGTTGTCTACAAAGCCGCGGTTTGGGTTGTCTCGGAATCTAGCAGACTTAATTATTATAAGTCTAGAAATTGAATCACATCAGAAGTAGGAAACTGTGCAGGTAGGATAAAATGCCGTAGCAACTCGTAAAATTCTAAAATTACTTGCGGACAACGATATCATTCTGAAGCGTTGTCCGTGTGTACCCATGCTTATCTACATATCAACTGACTAAAAAAGAAGATCCAGAAGTCTTTTTGATCCTTCTAATCGCCAGCCACAGCCACAACCATGCAGTAACCCCCTTGAAACCTTGAAACAAAGAAAATGGGGGAGAGGGATAATAAAAACTCCGTCGCTAATGTAGCCCCTAAACAAAGAAAACAAGAAAAAGACGAAAGCAGAGTACGGAAAAGGGATGTTAAGATGAAGTAAGACAAAAGGTCAAGCTCATACAACGCCCATTGCCAACTAAACTCCTCGACCGTAGGTCACGTAGATATGGAAAATGCTTGAAAAACGAGGATGGCGTGAAATGTCCAGGGGATGATGAGAGCTAGTGTGTCCATCAGCGTCGGGCACGAAGTTGATCCAAGGCTTGGCGCTTCCGAGCCTCCTTGTCCGCCTTGAGCTTTCTTTCCAGGCGTTCCTCTTCGATGTCTTCACGACGAGCGATCTGCTCTGCTCGTCGTTCTTCGACATCGATATCATCCAGCCCTGCTTCCATGTCCGACGAAGCGTCGGACGCATAATCGTACCGTGGGCCACCTTCGTCTTCTTCGTCATCGTAGTCAATGAAATCGTCCATATCTTCGTCATAATCATCTTCAAAACGTGATTTTGAATGTGAGGGACGGGGAGCTCGTGGAGCACTGAGCAATGCTCCACCACGAGGGACGTCCTTCTTCTTGCCAACATCACCACCTGGTCGAGGTCTGGCAGTACCTGTGTAGCCGGTCGTTGCCGCCACTGCCTTCTTGACCTTCTTGGCTTCTTCTGGCGGTGGAGCTTTGACTGCAGGTCCTTTGGTACCGGCCATTCGACCACGTTCTGGCTTAGATGGAGGTAGGGGTCTACCATTGCGAGCATCCTTTCCGGGTCCGGACACAGGTGTCCCATTTCGTTGGCCAGGTTTCGCAGTGCCGGCATAGCCTGTAGAGGCAGGAGCGGCGGCAGCCGGGCGCTGTTTGATGTTCTTGGCGGCTCGAGGGTCGGCCTTTGGGGCAGGCTCCTCCTTGACCTTCTTCAAGTTACCGCCCTCAACCTTCTTGTGCTGAATTCGGCCCACCTGTCCCATGGACTGCTGGGCCTTTTGGGCTCGAGCAAGGATCTCGGCGAACGAGCCTTTCTTTGGCGGGACACCACGAGCCGCGGGAGGCGCACTCGAGGGTCCGGGTGAAGGTCTATTAGGGGCAGCAGGTTTAGATATCCTATTGCCCCCGTTCATGGGTTTGGAAGACAAAACGTTAGGTTTGGCGGCCCCATTTGTTGAACTTGAAGGTCTTTGCGAGGGAGTCGGTCTGTCAGAGGGCCGTGATGGAAGGCTCGGTCTGGAGGATGTGGTGGGGGACTGAGTAGTTCGTGGTGCCACGGCACTGGATAATGTCGTGACTCGGGGTGCCTTGGAGATACTCGATCGAGAATCACTGTCTGCTTTTCTTTTGGGTAACGTGTTCGATCGAGGAAGGCTCTGTGTGGGGGATGGGGCGGAACCCTCATCACCGCCGCTGATTTGGGCGAGGAGATCACCGATCTTGACCATTGTCAGTATTTTCCTGATGTTGTCGAGTCTGGCTTCCGGTCAGTTACTCACAGGCATCACGTCGGATATGAGTCAAAGAGCTTGATAAGGTTAAGTATTGACAGCCCTCAGAGCCAAAGAGGAGCAAATAGGCTCAGTCGTGGATTGTGAGTCATTGAGCGGTTGGCAAAGTTTGGTCGCTGTTTGTCTGTCGTCAGGCACTTTGACGTATTTTAAACATGCAAGTTTAAGACTTTCTGGTGACGTGAGGCGCAGAGTCGATATGAGGTCTGTTTGTGGTCGTATTCGCTCGAAATTTTCGTCAGAAACGCCTGAAATGCAGGCGATCACGGAAGAAAAGGAGAGAAAAGCATACAGTCAGTGAAGAGCAAAGAATCAGTCAACAGCCAACTTTATGGGCGTGTCCGTGAAATCAGGGAAAGCGCCACAAGCTGAACGCGGCGTTAGTCACGTGGATGCATCTGTGGCGGTGCGACGGCCGGATCGGTCTGAGTCTTTTTCCGAGATCCCCCGCCATCTGTAGGTCAAGGGAAGGTGCAACCCACCAAACACGTGATCGCAACCTTCCGCACATTTCGTATTCACAAAATAGCATTCAGCGGATCGCGAACTTTTCTACTTTTTGTCATACCGAAACAACCTAACCACCGGACTCGAAGTTTCAGTCTCCGCCCAACTTGCGGTTAAATTGATTGATTTCTCGTGTTCTCGTCGACTCAATGTAAGTATATAAACCTTGCTGCCCTCCCTGCTTCCCGGTCTTTTGTGATCGTCTCGACAAGCACCAATCGCACAGCAAGAATTTCGCTCTAACATCTTGCGATCAGAAACCACATTCAAAATGAAGCACCTCGCAGCTTACCTCCTTCTCACCCTCGGTGGCAACACCTCCCCCTCTGCCGCCGATGTCAAGGCCGTTCTCGAGTCCGTTGGCATTGAGGCCGATGAGGAGCGCCTCAACACCCTGATCTCCGAGCTTGAGGGCAAGGACATTCAGCAGGTACGTTCGACATACAACATTTACAACCATGCATGGGCAATGCTAACAAATATCTACAGCTCATCTCTGAGGGTTCCGAGAAGCTCGCTTCCGTTCCTTCTGGTGGTGCCGGTGGTGCCTCTGCTGGTGGCGCCGCTGCCGCTGGTGGTGCCGCTGAGGAGGCCAAGGAAGAGGAGAAGGAGGAGGAGAAGGAGGAGTCCGACGAGGATATGGGCTTCGGTCTCTTCGACTAAGCGATCTATATCTAAAGATCTGCCCACTCATGATACCTCACGAATTTCGAAGATGCTACGCACGGGTTGTTTACCAGTTCTTACATGTCTCAGGCGTGGATGGATTGGCCGCTCATGGCTGGATTGGGTCTCTCTAAGGATGGGATAAATTACGGTTATGGAAATTGAAAAAAAAAGGCGGTTCGGCTCTTCGAATATTTGGTCCTACTTGTGAATGTCCTGTTTATTGCTGTGAAGTCCTTCGATCGTCATCTCCAGTGACCACCACGTTGCTGTATCGTGAGGGGCATATCTACCATCGAATTAGGGTTTCTGCAGCCGCATCATCCCACATTAAAAGGTTTGTGGTGACGCTTCGGTCTGAGCTACCCTAGGACCATATGAGCTGAAAATGATAGGTGCACCGGCATGTTAGTGACGCCCATACTTTGTCTGGTCCTGCATTCGCCAAACTGTATTGTGATACATGGTGCATTGTTTGTGCCTGTGGCTTAAAGTTGAAACAAATAATTGGACTAACATCGCATCAAGTTGGACGACCCCCAGTCTTTGAAAGTTAGTTATGCGCCTCGGGCAGCCCATGGTCAAGTTCAGCTGAGCCGTGCAGGAGTTTAGATCGGCCATCCTCTCCAATCATTTTCAGCTCAAGCCATGGTAATACCGACTGTCATTTGTTTGAGGTGAAGTTTACGATTCTCCTGTTCTTTCGGTCTTACACTTGGCTCATCCCCGCCTCTGTGTCACTAGATTTCATTATGCTGCATGTTGCGTACGAATATCACGCGAACTCTTGCTGTATTTTTGTATCAACTTTCAAAATTGGTTAACCTATATCCAAGTTTAGGTCATAGAATGAGAAAACCCTGGCGGATAGATGTCCTTCAAAGTCGACAATAACATTAAAAGAATATCCGATATCATGAAGTAAGTATAAGTGAGTTTTCGTAAAAACACAAACCGCATTTGGTATACAAAATGCTTGCCCTACAGAACTCCAGTGTAACATGACACGCCCATTAAACGCCCGTTTATATAAGTCAACTCGCATCCGCCCGCTGTATGTATGACCTGCCACGTTGGCACTTCTTTTTCGTATACGTGCCCTGTTACCTCATTGGACGCTGTGCCTGTTCATCTCCATTCCAAGAGAATGTTCTGTCGTCGCGGTTGTTGGTGTTGTTATGTCCGGGGTCAGGAGAGCCAGGGAGTTCAACGGGGGCGACCTCTTGAGGCTTGGGTGTAGTGGCAGGAGAAGCGGCCATGGGAGGTGGCGCATAGTGTTCGCTGATGAAAAGTTAGCCAATGTGATTTGTACTGCGAAATGAGAAACGACTTACTGGTACTGATATTGCTGGCCATCATGGTACATCATGGGAGAACCATCTTGGTTCACCATGCCAGGGTGAGTACCGTAGGCGAGTGACTGATGAGGGCTGATGGGAGGACTCTGACCGTGACTGTAGGGAGTCGCAACGAGACCGGGGCTCTTCTGAGCGGCCCAAGGGTCAGCGACACTCTGTTGAGGAGAGTAGACGGCGTTCTCGACAACGGAAGGACCAGGAGGAATAGCACTGTTGCGGAAACTCTTGCGGTAGGCCTTGTCAAATCCACCTCGTCGACCGCAGAGGTAAAGGAGAGCACCGGCGAGCAGGAGCACAGCAGCACCACCAACAGCGATACCAGCAATGGCTCCCGTAGAAAGCGACTTCTTTCCGCCTCCATTATCACTGTCCGAGTTGGAGCTATCATCGTCTTTGCCTGGGGATGCGGTAGAAGTAGGATCGTCCTCCTCCTTTGGCCATTCGTCTCCAGGTCGTAGTTGATAATCGACATCCTTTGCGTTCTTGAGCAAGCCTTCAAGTGTTTCATTCTTGGACTGTTATACTGTTAGTAGTGGGTCGATGGCGATGGGATCAGAAGACGTACAGGGTTGACAATGCCCATCATGTGGTACTTTACGCATGATCCAGGAGCTCCGCAGTAGAAAGTGAAAGGCTTAGTATCATTGACGCGAACTCGGAATCGAGGAGCCTGTGGGAAGTCAGTATTGGTCGTCGAATTTGATAGTCGCAGGGCTGATCAACGTACATCGTCGGTAATGGCCTGAACCTTTTGCGTTCCACTGGAGAAGCCCTTTCGGTTCAAGTCGATATACTCGTAAGGAATACAAGGGTGGTCGTAATCGCCTCGGATGACCCAGTGGTCAGTTGGATAGAACCGCCATTCAATGATGTCTCCAACGTCAGCCTCTAGTTCAGAAGGTGTGAACTTGTGTCCGGACTGTTCTCCATTAGCACCAATGCTTTATGTGAATTACAGGAATGTTAAACCTACCGCTCCGACGTTAATAGTATGAGTCTTCTCCGCAGCAGAAGATGTTCCAGAGGCAGTCTCCTCAGACGTCGATGTAGGAACATCTGATGCCTCGGTTAGTGTCTGAGCCCAAACTGTAGCGAAAGCCGCCGCAAGGGCTATCAATGATTTGGAAACCATTGTGAATAGCTAGCAAACACTGAGTGACAAACAGCTTGTTGTATAAGCAAGCAGATTCGATCCAGGTTTCAAGGCTAGGGTTGAAGTCTGCAATCGAAACGAAACAAACAGGACGAGGGGAGAGAGAGGAGAAGCAAGCGGAGCTGAGTAACGAGATCCCACGTTCTTTTTACCTTTCCATAGTAGAACGGGGCATCCGTAGGGAAGAGGAGGCTAGACAAAGAAGGGACAGGGACTGGACCATTGATGACAACCTCTTAGGTCCATGCTCATAAGTTGGGATAACCCGAGAATGGATCATGGCTGGCTGGACAGATGCCGACCGACCGTCCCTTGGCTTTGGGGGCTGAGCGAGGGTTGCTTTTTGTGTGTGCACGTCTTGTCGTCTTCAGCACACCATCTGTGCTGCGGAGGGATGCATGTACATGCAGTACTCGTTCTCTGTTGGTACAAACAAAGAACCCTAAGCCTTCTCGCCTTTCGGCGATCCCAGGACCAAGCTCAGCACATGTTTGTTCAGCTTTTGTTTCATGTGAAAGCATTGATCCGTACTAGGAGCTGTTTCTTTGTTGTTGACTTTGAGCTCTCGATATACATAGAGTTGACGACTATGCTTAAGTCTAGACCAGACCAACAAAACTCTACCTCCCACCATCACAAGTTCGCAGTACAAGTACTGTACAACGCAAGAGTAGAAAGAATTTCTCTCATTTGCAAGACCAGGCAATCTCCACTGTAAGCTTATTAGCCACGTTAAGTCGACTCGACTTGTTCAACAAGACAACATGGTATCAATGTATGTATGTACACGCTCGTGCTAACACAGCACAGTAAGCACTACCCAAGCATGTTGCAGGGATCTTTTTACGCAGCCAGTCAGCATCAGCCTCGAAGCAATAAGCTGCAATCTGAGGTTGCATCCTTAGTCTTTGCCAAGATTGCGCCAACGGACACTAACAAGACTTGGGGGTCTTGGGCCCGTAAATTCAACCTCACCTCTTCTTCTCCTCACCTCGCATCCGCCCTGTAATGAAGGCTGAGTGAACCTGTGAAAGCACTTGCCCGGAGTTGTTAGCCCTTTCTGGGTAACACATACCCTTGAGGACCGATGATCCCCCTCAGCCTTATAAGCCATAGCCGAGCCGCGTCTGATAGCGCAGGCACAGCATGGCGATAGTTGATAAAACATGTAGAGATGTTGTAGCACCTTTCTTCGATTGACACGTTTCAAAGCTGCTTGTCTTGGTTTTGTCTCTTGTTATGAGACTTGGGATGAAGACTGAACCTCAAAAACAGGCCGGCCAAGTTGATGGGACAAGAGAAGATGCTAAGGCCGAGTCAGCTGCAGCATGTCAGATCGTTTAATGCAGGGCAGGGGTCATTTGCTGGGAGAGGAGACAACTCAACCTCCCACCCCAAGCACCCTCGCCCGGTCTGTGAATTCATCCAGTCTTTCCAGGCTAGATAGCCCACGCGTTTTCGCTCTCGGAGCTTTTCTACTCGTCAATGGACGAATATCTTATCGAAATCGGGCAGGTTCTTCGACAGAGTCCAAGCCTAAGCCTAAGCATCTTTTGGTTGTTCCTATGTGAGGGATAACTCCGCGGTTGGCTTGCATAATGCTTACAGTATTCTGCTTGGCAGGCGTTGTTCCCGTCATTTGATACCGGATAGATCTTCGGTATATAGCCCATGATAGGGTTGACTCAAGATCGACAGCGTTTACACCACATTTTGTTTCATTGTTTTCGGCCCCCAACGGGTTCTCTGTTGAAATGGTATTTCGCCTCTTCGGTTACAGATAGGCAGAAGCTTATTGCCTTGCCACCTCTGCGCAATTCTATGATTGATCAGTGACTTATTTACGAGCCAGGGAAAGTCTGGATGGGTACCGTTTCTTGACATGGCCAATCCCGGCTCTCTTCTATCCTGTATTCGAGTCAGGGTCTGCTGTAGGATGAGGCAGAACTGAGTAACGGGCACTGGTCTGACAAAGTCCCAACTTCCATAATAGACCTAGTCTAATAAAGAGATCCGCGTGCATTCTATCCAGACCCTCGGTTCGGCCACAATCCTAGCGAGAAACAGATTATCGGCCCAATATCGGTGTCGATTCACTTCAGCACCCAGACCCTTCTGCAGAACAAAGAATCAATGCTGTCCAATACTTGACATGGAGTCCGGTAGCATCCTTGGACGGCGGACGAATAAGTATCAAGAGTGACCCTGGTGTGGCAATAACCAGTCTTTGTCACTGTCTCAAAGAGAACTTGGCCAGCGTAAGCCTCGTTGACAGGAGAAGGAGAAGGCTGTGTTTGAAGCTCAAATCACCGCTGTTCTATTGCATCCCTTGCTACAAAACCGATCCAAGTGGTTCTCCTCGTCGTTTGTGTCAGACGGTCTCTTCGCATCTCAGATCCAGGAGATATTGTGTAGTATCAGTTCCTGTCGATTGGATAAGCGCAGGACATCAGGGGCTCTGGTCAGCAAATGACCGCATCACTGACCGGCCTATTATAATGTATAGAAACCGATATTTAAGCAACATGCTCACGATAAGATCACAGCCTTCACCTACTCTCCAAGCTGCATGGTATGCGGTAATGCGTTGATCTCATGTGTCTCAGGCAATCTTAACTCGAATCCGAAGGCGAATTTTCTGGTTGTCATTTCAGATGTTCAGTCTTGCTCCCACCTAATCGTTCAGGCGAGCATCCTTTCGTTTTATCCGCTGCTGCTATCAAGGCACAACCGATCCGAAAGTACTATTCGCCAAGTCAAAGATGAACGTTCATGAGGCGTTGGCCACTAGTCGCTGATTCAGATTTTCCACCCAGTTTCGGTACTCCGAGAGTTCTCAACGTATTGATGTCGCAGAATCCCATCAAAATCAGTTTGAGAAAGTAACAGTGCCTAGGCGAATCACCTGATCACAAGCCATTCAGCGACTCAGTGGCTCAGTTTCGGGTCGATCGAATCAGTCGCAGAAGCAAAGATGGATATGGCAAACAAAAGTATTATTGAATTTAGTATCAAAAAAAAAAAGGAAATTTTGCCTCTATAAGGTCTTATTCTTTCTGCCGGAACTCTTTAGCGAGCCTCCGGGTAGCAAATCACTCTCTTGAAGGAGCTTGAAGAAGCACCACAAGTAGCAGATGATGAATCCAGCAGCGCCGATACCGACATTCGCCACGACCCAGAGATCCGGCTTGTCAGCAGGAGGAGGCGCAAAGGCATCAAGGACATGCCAAGCACCCATGGCCAAATAGAATAGCCAGTGCAGAAGCGCTGTGCCCCACTGAAGCCAGGCAGCTTGGCCTTCTTGGAAGTAAGCACTGAGGGAAGTCGGCGGAAGGCCAAGTAGGTAAGACCAGAGAAGAGACATGATTGCATAAGGGATCTTTAAGTCAACGCGCTTGAGCAAAGGGAACATAGTCCAGACTCCCAGGAGGTTGGCAAAGCCTACCCAAGCTCGAGTGTCCTTGTTCAGACCTTGCTTTCCAGCCAATAGTAAGGTCATGGGCATTAAGGGGAGTAGGACGCTCTTTTCATGAACTTGGAAGCTGAACAAAAAGAATCCCCAAGCCGTGGCAGCAAAAGCCAGAGGCAAGGTTGTCTTTCGAGGTCGCAAGAACAAGATAACGTTAGGCGGGATGATAGAAGCGAGTGTTGCACCAAGAGCCATCTTCTGGAGAACGGGTGTCGGCCATTGTCGAAGCTTGACGACAACGTTGGCAGCGCACCAAAAATTGGCAACCTTATCCTCGAACAAGCCGCGAGCGAAGGGGAAGACACGATGGACCATCTGAACCAATTGTTCCACGTATGGCCAATAAAAGGCATCCGTGTCGAGGATATCTACAAGTTGAGGAAGGAGAGGAAGCGAAGGAGAGTCCTTAGAGCCGCCGTGTGCGTCAATACCCTGGGTTTTGTCGTAGAAAGTGCCGAGAATCAGAGGTAGAATAAGGATGGCGAAAGAGACAGCGGTGACAAGCGCAATGCCGAAAAGTCTTGTAAGATCGAGTCGGGGGAAAACACATCGTCCAAGGAGGTAGGAGAAGACGCTGAAAGCATAGTACAGCGCCATCTGCTTGAAACCCAATGCGCCAACAAAGAAGACGGCAGCCCACTTGTATCGTTCAGCCAGCATACTTGACATGCTCGCCATGACTAATCCGAGCATGACGGTGTTGTACTGGAAGTGAACATGATCGATAAGAATTGTGCCAGGCTGCATCAGAATTGCGACAAGTGCAAGCCATGCAGTCCAGTTGGTCACCCCTTGCAGTCTGCTGTATCGTCGCACAAAGACAATCGTCGCCGGAATGTAGATCAGATACTCCGACACAATAACAGTCGCTCTCATGAATATCTTCAAGTCGGGATCCTGGTTTCCTCGCGAGGCGTAAAGCGCAAACCACGAAGGGCCAATGTAAGATCCTAGCTTCCCCAAGACCCAGCTATGGTAGGCCGTAAGAGGAGGGTAGTCGAGACCCCACCACTGGAGATCGTGGAAATACCATTGCGAGATGGGTAGTTGAGTTGTGACCTCCATCCAGTGTCGCTGGGCCTCGTAGTCGCCGAACATAGGAGGTTTGCGGAAACCTAGAAAGCAAGTTTCGGGTTAGCGAAAGGTGTCATGATGGGCACATAATTGCAAGTGTTCATCCTTACCAGAGTATCCCCACAGACCAGCAGCCCATCTAAAAAGACCGACAACCATGAGGATCACAGGTAGAACCTCCCATTGCGACAGAGAAGTGCGCGCAGGCCAAAGAAAGGCCGCAAGAGGGAACGCGGGCGCCCTTACAAGGGCTTCTGCACGAGGGGTCTTCTCCTTAACAACATCGGTACCGCTGCCATTGCCAGATTTTTTGGTGGTCCTGCGACGAGGTTTATGCGGTGACGGGGAAGGGCCAGCCATTGTCACCTCTTGATTGTTCACTGACAAGAGCGACAATATTAAAGATCGATCTGCTGGTTGGTTGGATATGAAGGAAGAGAGAGCGTGGAGCTCCGAAGCTCTAAGTTAAGATACAACCCCGGAATTTTTGGTGGAGCTTCCAATTCAACATCGGCCGAAAAGGAGCTTCCGATCCCGACGTCACTTCTACAGTGTGGAAACTTCGTCAATTCGTACAGTACAATGATACCATCAGGCTGTGAACAAGATTCGAGAGCTTGGCAAGGCGTTGCGTCACAAACTTTTGTATTTCCTCTCCTTTTCTCACTGAAACTCGATATATACCATCACAGAGTGCAAGCTCCCAACTACCAGAATGCCGTTTCCTTTTGTTCTTCCGACAACTTCTTCGTTCTCCTTCTCAACAAGCTTCACCTCTGATACGCATCCCTCGCTGCCCCTCAACGCCAGCACCTATCGCGGGGTAGTTCGCGATGCTTTAAAGAAGCACAAAAGGCTTCCTCCGAGCTCTCAAATCTCGAATCTCAATACTGTGATATCGAGTGTTAATGGCTATCTCCCCTATCTACTGATAGTGGATGAAGGTTTAAATAACAAGGGTCCAGCCCATGTTACACTGAAGACTGCTCCGGTTATCGAATGGAGGCCTACTTTATCTGGTGAAGTCGTTCCAGGACGTGAAAGGGCTAGAGTCAAAATTTCATCTTTAGAACATGAGATTGCCTTTGTAATGTCCACATTGGGCTTCACGCACGTTCTGGCATCCCGATCGGCCTTACAGCCTCTCTACTCAACCAGGAGCGAGTTTCTCGGGGCGCAAGAGCGCACGAATGCCGTTCAAACAGCAACAAAATCTCTACTTGAAGCTGCATCCGTCTACGACTACCTTGCAAATCGGGGAGAGAAAGTCACAGTCAGCCCACCATGTCCCGATGTTTCCCAAGGCATGGCCCGAGCATTGTCGTCGTTGGCTCTGGCTGAAGCCACCTTGCTGGCCGTTCTAAAAGACGACCCATACCCAGCAATAGTTGCCCAAGATCGTAACAAGAACGATAAAGAGTGGATGTTTAAGGCACCCGAGATCCCAAAGGTTCGCGCTCATCTATATGCTCGACTTTGCCTGGCAGCCTCAGAGCATGCAGCCAAAGCATCATCTCTATGCAGCACATCTGGATCTGGATCGCACAAAATCAACAGCGCTCTTCTGAAGTACATAGAAGATTTACGCCGAACCTGTCGAGCTCGGGCTTGTCGTTTCTTTGGAATTGATGCAGAGCTGGGTGGTCAAGTTGCTGACGGGATAGGATGGGTTCGCGCTGGACTTTCAGAGCTAGGTGTCGAGCCTAAGGACCATAGTAAGAAAGGTCTCAGCCTCAGTAAACTAAAGAAAGACTTCTCGGAAAAGCGCGAAGATCGAAGAGTAGATAAGGAGGCGGCATGGGGAAGTGATGCTGGCAAGTTGGAGGAGATCAGAGTACTGGAGATGCTCGACGCGAAATGGAACAAAGTCAACGACACGGTAAGTCTCTTGACTCCTTCGACAGAGCAATGACTAACATCACAGATGAACACACAATTCGTTCCTCCCGTCAATACCCTTCTCAGCAAAATGCCATCAGGCCGCGAGATTCACACTATCAAGCCTTACGAGATCCCTTCACTCGACAACGACATAGTGGAAGGCATGCGGGCACCGCCAGACGGTGATGATGCATATGTCGATGACTTGAGTTCAGATGATGAAATCAAAGGCGAGGCTTCAGCACCTGTTGGTGCGTTCCCAGGGACGGTAAATGATTACTCTCGGAGCCCAAGCACGCCAGGCAATGCATACTACTAGCTTTTGGCAGGTCAGGCAAGCTGAGTCAAAGAAGTGTATAATAAACTGAACATCTGGTAGAGTGACAATCTCGCCATGTTATGGCTGCATACATGTACTTTCTGCCGCTGTCAGATAACATCGAGCTTTTCAGACTGCGATATCATCACAATCACTTCCTTCGCAAACCCAACGATCACTCTCCATGATTTCTAGCCATCAGTCCCCAACAGAAGAAGGCCCGAGTTACTTCTTAATCGACCAATCGAGGGGTGGGAATGATGGAGGTCGTGTCACCGTCGCCCGTGATAATCGGCAAAGTGATAGTTGGGTCAGGAGTAATGACAGGAAGGGTGATAGGAGGATCGGGAGTAATAGGGGAGATGGTTGGTGTATAAGTGACTGTGCAAGGTGGTGGTGTAGGAGACTCCTCAGGTTTACAAATGTCCCAGCAGCTGGTTACAGTTAGCAATTGGATCAGACCAAGAACATATCATGGAGACTTACCCTCCCCAAGGTTGACCACAGTCATCGATGCCATTCTGGCAAATGGTTGCACATGGAGGAGGGTAGGAACTGAAAGGCGCGGCGGATACCAATCCCACGAGGGTGACGGCGGTAGTGATGGTCTTGAAAAGCATGATGATGGATGAATGAGTCGTGATGTCGTGCGATGTTCTTGATGGTTGGATGAGGAATCGGTCTGTTGCATGTATGATACTCTGTCTTTATACCTGTCATAAGAGCAACTACCTACCTCTATGTCATATCGACTTAGATAAAGAAGGAGAGAAGCGAAACAAGGACGACTTGGTGCCCGCTTTGACGTGTGATCGACTACCAAGACTCAACGTTTGAGAAGGACCTTGAGGATACGAGGCACGCACATTCCCCAGGTTGGGGTAGTCAATGAACTCCTATCAAAGAAAGAGGTTGCGAGACGTCATGGCGATCGTGTAACGTAGTAGCACAGGTCAACTTGGAGGCAGGAATTAGATGTTCATAAAAATAGGCCTGTCAAACGACGTTTATTAGAGTCCTGTCTAACTTGAAAGAGTTTTGAAACATTGTCTTGGCTCGTATAGGACAACGACAAAAACGTCATAAGCGTACCGACAGCAGGAGGTCTTTCATGGTTATAGGTTATATTTTGTATTCTTCTTATAGGGAAAAGGCCATCGTGATTTCTTGTTTCTTATTATTCCCCATTGATACGAGGACCTTCTGATGCAGGGTGGTTGATCACTATTGTAAGGAATCCTGTCTGAAAACATGTATCAGAAGAGAGCATTGCGGGTTATGAGCTGCTGAACGATTTCGTTTTCCTGAACTAATAATGACTTATGGACGCTTAGATCGAGACTTGGGAAAAATTCCCCGAAGCCACTTGGTTCGATTGGATTAATTGCACGTTCTTTGTCTGATGGCTTTGCTTTGTGCACTTGTGCCACAGATAACAGCCACCCCGTGGACCGTCCCAAAGTCTCAATCCAGGATAGACCCGAGGGATCTTTGCTTCGAAATAACCCCTTGCGTTCAAAGACTTTAAGTCAAAGCCCACCTGGATGCAGCTGTGAGTGCCGATCATTTTGCAGGTCGAACATGGAGTATCTGCAGGGTTGATGAATCGGCGAGACTTGTCCCACATTCAGATATCGAGAAAGAAAGGTCAGACCATGAGGCAATCATGTTTTCCAAATTGCATCGAGCCAATTTGTCAGGTCGTCTTTCTCTGTGCCGCACTGTTGATAGGAACAGTTATTCGCCAGTCTATCTTGGTACCTAGGCAAGAACATAGGTATCGAAGGGTGAGTATCGGTTCGGTTCGGAGGTGGCTGTGGTGCAGTTAAGCGATATTCGATAAAATCTCCGGTAAAACGGTTCTGGAACTAGCATAACAGCCGTACCAAGTGTAAATCATATCAGCCTATAGGGTACAAGGGGTGAACGATCAAGAAAATAATATTGTCAAGTTAGCTATCAGAACACAGCATGAAACTCCTATCATCTAGCCTATACACAGGGTTAAAAGTCCTAATAATCTCATTCGCAGATTTATCTGCGATAACCCTTCAGATCGCTTCCTCCTCCAATCGTCACGTTCGTTTTCACAAAAAGAAAGTATCATCTTTTTTTCTTCCTCTAGCTGCCGAAAGCCATCTGCTTCTTGATCTCGGCGATGGCCTTACCAGGGTTGAGACCCTTGGGGCAGGCTCGGGTACAGTTAAGAATAGTATGGCAACGGTACAGGCTCATGGAGTTCTCGAGGTTCTGCTTTCGCTCGGCGGTGCGCTGGTCACGAGAATCGGCGAGCCATCGGTAAGACTGGAGCAGGATAGCGGGACCAAGGTACTCCTCAGAGTTCCACCAGTATGAAGGGCATGAAGTAGAGCAGCAGGCGCAGAGAATGCACTCATAGAGACCGTCGAGCTTGCGTCGGTCCTCCTTGGTCTGTCGGTACTCTCGTCCCTAATCAATTGGTTAGTACGGATGGGTGTCTATAAGTCAGAAAGGGATCGTACGTCTTCGGCAGGGGTGTCGCGCTGGAGGTAAGGCTTGATGCTCTTGTACTGCTTGTAGAAGTGTGTCAAGTCGGGGACAAGGTCCTTGACGACGTAGGTGTGAGGAAGAGGGTAGATCTTGACGTCGGAAGCAGCCTCAGTAGGGATTCGGCCTGAGTAGAGGTATTAGTGTTTTGTTCTGGTAGTCGTGATATACCGCACGCGACTCGGATGAAAGGGGGGTCGTACACAAGCAAGCAAGAGTGTTCTGTCCGTTGATGTTCATGGCGCAGCTACCGCAGATACCCTCACGGCAACTTCGTCGAAAGGTCAGGGTAGGGTCGAGCTCGTTCTTGATTCGGATAAGGGCATCGAGAATCATAGGTCCAGTCTTGTTGAGGTCCAAAGAGTAGGTCTGAAGACGGGGCTTCTCGCTGGGAGTATCGGGGTTCCATCGGTAGATCTGGAAGGACTTCATCTTGGACTCGGGCTCCTTGGCAGGCTCGCTGACGGAGGCCATGGAACGAGTGAAGACAGTGCCGGGTCGAATGGCAGCCGTCCTTGAGAAGGCGCCAACAAGGCGAGAGGAAGATCGAAGAGCAGCCATGGTGAATCGAATGGAATTACAATTGCGATTGGGACCGGAGGAGAAGGACAGTCAAACTTCGCGATGTATAGTTGGAGCTGTGGTCAGGCGATTGACAAGGAGAAATGCCGTACAATCCCCTCCGTTAGAGCTGAATTGTCGATAATCTCAAGAGGTGGCGTCTAAAGGATTCTCGTCGTCATGTATTGGAAAGGCAAACCTTCCTCGGTTATTGCAGTTTACACTGGGACTGGCGGCTTGTCCTTGGCCAATCAGAAACTAGAAATTAGCAACTCGGCTTTCTCTACCACTCGGAATCGGCAGAAACAGGCTCGTGAAATGTGAAACCACGTGACTAGAGGAAGTCGATCTCGGATCATCAACGGTTATCAATAATTGCGGAGATGAGGTTCCGGAAGATTTCATTCTAGTTTACAGTGGCTCGGGCGTTCCGCACCGCCTCCTTTACTGTGCATGTGGCTTGCTTGCTTGCTTCTCGCTTCTCGCTTCACTTCCTTGTCTTTTTGTTCCGAGTAATTGGTACTCCACTGAGTCCAGCCCACTCGAAACTTTGACAGAAAGAAGATTGGAGGGGCCCCGGACAAGATTAGATAAGAGGTTGGTCTATTCGGTGCTCAACAACTTTGTTTCTCCGTTCGCGATCCCACTTCTCATATGACAATTTTTTCTCTTACGATTTCCTTGGCAAATATGGTTTCTCTATAATTGATACTCGAATTGACCGGTCATCAATATTCTTATCATCCGCTAACTGCCCGCTTGAAGCCGTCATTAATTCAAAATTCCTGTCTGTTGGACTCCAGCACCATCACGATCCACTTCTAGCCCTTCATGGCCGCACCTTGCAACCGACTGGCTGCAGCTTCATTGCGAACGCTTGCTAAATGTGAGTCGCACCGTATAAGATCATTTGTGTTTCGTTGTTCTAATTGTCCCAGTTCCGAATCAATACTGTGCTCGAGTTGCCCAACCTCATGTCGCAATGACCTCATGCTCGCGATCGAGACTCTACTCCACCTCTACCGATTCGTCTCGATTCTCATATCATGTCGCATCTTCCTTCATTGCAAAGGACAGACCATACGATCCTTCCAGTCACGTCTTTCACTTCAATCCGTACAATCGAATTCAGCCTCCAAGAAACCGTCGACCTTCCGCCCGTCCCGAATCTGGCCACGATGCTTTCTTTGTCAGCCGGGTCAACGACTCTGGCTCGGTAGCTTTTGGCGTTGCTGATGGTGTCGGGGGCTGGGTAGACTCTGGCGTTGATCCTGCTGATTTTTCCCACGGATTCTGCGACTACATGGCATTGGCTGCCCACGAACACCAGACTAGCTCCGAACCTCCCTTAACGGCCAGACAATTGATGCAGAAGGGATACGACGCAATCTGCAACGACCGCAGTCTTCGCGCCGGTGGAAGCACGGCGTGCGTAGCTATCGCAGGAGCTGATGGAAATTTGGAAGTTGCGAACCTTGGGGATTCCGGCTTCCTGCAACTACGATTGAACGGTGTTCACACCTATTCAGAGCCTCAGACTCACGCATTTAACACTCCTTTCCAACTATCGCTTGTTCCTCCTAGCGTTGCTGCTCGTATGGCGGCTTTCGGTGGCGCTCAGCTCAGCGACCTGCCCCGCGACGCTGACGTTACCCAACACTCACTCCGCCATGGCGATATACTTGTTCTTGCAACCGACGGCGTTCTAGACAATCTATTTAACCAAGATATCCTCCGAATTGCTAGCAGGGTTTTGGTTTCTACTGGGGCTTGGGTAATGACAGAAGCTGGCGGTGTTCGTGTGGCAGAGTCACTGGATCCTCTCGTTGAGCTCCGTGATAACACTGAGGGCAAGCGAACAGTAACACTTCAGAGCGCACTTGCTACCGAGCTCGTGACAGCTGCCAAGCGAGCCAGTATCAACTCGAAACTCGACGGCCCATTTGCCAAGGAAGTTCACAAATATTATCCCCATGAGAACTGGCACGGCGGCAAAGTCGACGATATTTGTGTGGTGGTAGCTGTGGTCAATGAGACTACTCCTGCTACGAAGAGCAAGCTATGAATTATTTGATCACATTTGTTTTACGGCGCAGTTTCATGATAGAGCAGAGTACGACACATAAAGATGGGAAACGCAAGCATTTGGTTTATCTTGGGAAGTTTTGGAGTCTTGAAGTCGGTCACATAGACGGCAGAGGAAGCGCCACGGCTTGCTTGAATCATGCGGTTGTATAAGGGGCTGGCGCAATGAAAAGGGATCATATACATTTTTAATTCAAAAAGTACTATGCTATCTTGTTTTCTCGTGGACAGTGGTTGTGCCAATTCTAAGGGGGATAATGTGAGTCTAACTATCCGAGGCAAAGACGCATGATATTGGGATACAATGGATGTTGAGATCCATTTCACTTGACACTTGAGAAACCACTATCCATGGTTCGAAAAATTCCTTGAATCAGCATTGAACATGGAAAATTAGTAGTAGCCTTCCATAGCAAGGATATTGAAAATGTTTCCATGATGACTTGAAAGCCCGGAGTGCAGGGTAATTGGGATCCAAGGTGGATAAAACTAAGATCATGACATCACCAGCTCATGGTGTAAGAGACCTATCATCAAAACTGGCACAATTTCATCAGTGTAACAAACTCTCACATATCGATCTGAAGACCAAATATGACAGACATCTACATAGTATGCCCAAACAAATATTCGTATTATTCATAAAGCTTTACTGACATGACAACAGGCTGGTGCTATCGCAGCATTTACTGTAGACGTCTTAGTCTACCCTCTTGATACTATCAAGACCCGTATCCAGAGTCAAGATTATATCAAGACATACTCGGAGACTTCTCGAAAGAACATATGGGCTTTAAGAGGCCTCTATCAAGGCATTGGAAGTGTGGTATTAGCTACACTCCCTGCAGGTATGTTGTTAATTCACATATGCAAGGACTTGCGCTCATAAACACTCCGCAGCCGGCTTATTCTTCTCGACATATGAGAGCGCAAAACAAGTCATTGGGAATGCGACACCGTTACCACAGCCTTTGGTCCATTCAGCGGCTTCAGGGTTCGCAGAGATGGCATCCTGCTTGGTTCTCGCACCAGCAGAGGTGATCAAACAGAATGCTCAAATGTTACAGAACGAAAGTCATGGGGCCGCAAAATCTGGGTCATCAACATCACTGCAAGCGTTCCGTCAGCTGGCCGGCGATGGTGCATCTCGACGTCTGTTCACTGGCTACACAGCACTCGTTGCACGCAACTTGCCCTTCACAGCTCTCCAATTTCCAATCTTTGAGCACGTACGTGCAACGTATTGGGGTTCCCGAGAATCCGGCACTCCAGATCCTGGATTAATTGAAACGGGGCTGGTGACTGGGTTAAGCGCCGGAAGCGCAGGATCAGTTGCAGCGTTCATAACAACGCCAAGCGATGTTGTTAAGACGAGGATGATGTTGAGTGCTGGTAACCAAAATGAAAGTTCAACGCAAAGTCAAGGCGAGGTTGCTGCCAAGATGGAGGGCAAACGTCCAAAGAAGGGAGCGTGGACCGTAACGAAGGAGGTCTACCAAGAGAGAGGAGTACGTGGGTTCTTCCGCGGTGCGGCCCTACGATCAGGATGGACAATGATAGGAAGTGGACTCTATCTGGGGTCTTATGAAATGGCCAAAGTCTGGCTGAGGAGGGGGAAGCCAGATGCTGAGAATGACGAAGCTGCGTTGTGAGGCAAGCCGTAAATTGATGATAGACTAATTACCTAGACAACTGCGTCAATGACCAGACGAATCAGTTAAGCGAAAGTAAATTGTTCAAGGGATATGTCTTGGAAGATTATGGGTATTACACCGCTGATATTGTAGTGCAACGTAGAAAGATCAACAAAGAAGACTGGGCGTCGTATGTCGACATCCTCGTGGCTTCTGACGCCTTAAGGTAGGATTGTCGTCATACCCTGAATCTCATATTATAGTTCAATTCTAAACTAGACTGTTCCAAAAGATCCAATATAAATCACGATCATCTGAGCTTTTTTTTCTGAATAAATGATCAGAATCTTGAAAAAGATCTTGTGACCTGACGTTGGCCTGAATAATAACTACAGTAGTAGTAACTCGAGATCGCCGGTCAGGCAAAGTGTCGCAATTTTAGCGCCAACAGTATATGTCACTGCATCTTGGCTTGCACTAGCCACGCATTCTTTTTGTCAAGTTGAGGACCCCTAGTTACACGAAAAGTGTATTCATCTTGGTTCCGATTCTTCGCTTCTCCCTTAGAAGCCGAGCCAGGCTTGGAATGTCCTTCTAGCGGTGAAGCCATGACTCTAAAATTTCCGCTGCCATAGAATCTAAATCTGAGGTCCTCGTAATTTGGTGCATATGTGCTCAGCTTCAACATCCAATAACGTCAAAAGCTGACGAGAAGAATGTTCTTTCAGCCTCCATGTCCTTACGAAAACCTAAACTCGGTTTCTTCGATTCCCGCATAATGAGCCGAAGCATTCTTCCCATGTCACAAACAGAAGGCCTGGCTGACTCGAGGCAACAATTTTCACTGGTCCAGACTGATGAATGTCATGTTTCGAGTGGCCGGTTCTTCCACACTAACATATAGGCACTGCTAGAAGACCCTTCGGAAGTCTTCACCGACCCACATGTACTACTTTGTCGTCGTCTGCTCCGGATGGTGTCATTTAGCACGTTATCTAAGGCTTGATGGCCTAAGATGTTGAGGAAGGAGTTCGTATGACAATAAAAGGCTGATAACTCGCTGTTGTAGTTGTGTCGTCTTGACTCGTAGTTCTCCTTTATCCATCCTGCAAAGTCCTCCATCATTTATCGATACACAAGCAGTACAACCAGCAAAATTTGATCTCGATTTGAATGAGCATTGAAACCTCGAAAGGACAATAGGCCTTCAGTTCTCAAACAGCCACAATGGCAAACGTTGATGTTCAGACAGCACCTGGAGCAGCTCTCGATATCTTCTCCAAAAATGTTGGGCAAGTCGAGGTGAGAGAGGTCAGCCCAGATCTTGCCGCATCAAACCGATACCTGGTACAATCACCATATACCGAGCAAGAACATTTGCTAGATCTCGACACCCTCGACAATGAGAACACCATCCTTGCGCGCGCTCTGGGCAAATTCCAGGCTGTTCGTGAAGATTATGCGACGGCACCATACACAGAATCTTTTAACTGGCCAGAAGTGCTGGAAGAAGTGAAACGTCTTGCTCTTGAGTCTGGCAATAGTTTCAAAGAGACGTCGTTCTATATCGTGGCATTCCGGTCAAGGATCAAGCAAACAACCGAGTATGCGGATCTTGGCCGTCTCGACAAAGGGGCACATGCTGAGGCTGTCGCAAGCGGTGGCTTTCTCAAGTGAGTCGAAAGATCTTCTGTTTCAATTCTTGCGTATTGACATAAATAGATACTGGTTCGGCGAACCTGATTCAGAACTGGCCAATTTGGCAACTTGCATCTGGCGATCTCGAGAAGATGCCAAGAAGGGCGGCACAGGTCCAGCTCACCGAAAAGCTGCAGGAGCAACTCGGTCTATGTATGCATTCTGGCAGATTGATCAGCATCGACTCATCATTCGAGATAACGTTGAAGACTGGGAAATCATCCCATGGCAAGATTCGGCATAGGTAACGAATCTGGTTCTTCAACTTCCTGTATAACCTTAGGAGGCGTTTCGGGTTCTCTTTAACTTTTAAAAGTTTGGAACGAGTTTATGCTTCAAAATGCAGGCACTGAGTTTGGGTAAATGAGACGGAACGAGCAGAGGAGAAATGGCGTTTATTGAATAGAACTGTTGATTGGACATTGGCGATAATCTAGGTACCTAGATATGGGCAGCTTAAAATACAAGGTCGTGTATCCTATAAACTGGATTCTGAAGCAGTGAGAGTCGTATTGAGAGCTGGGTGTAGGACCCCCCGGTGTTGTGAAGTCGAACAGCGAGAAGTTAGAATGTGGTGAGTACAGGAGAGTAAACAAGCTCGCAGCTATTAACGCAAAGTAAAAATCATTCCAAGTTTCAAAAAAGCATCGCAACCGTGACTCTCTGCCTGTTGATGATAAACGCCGGTAGTCGCTCGGCTCTCTGCGACGTCAAGCGATTTTTGTTCTGCCACACCTTACCGCCCACCCACACGCCCACAAGTGAGAGTTTTCGATATTCCCACCATCTTGAGGCCTTGCAACACCACCCGCCCTTTTCGCGATCACAGCGCCGAACCTCTCCCCGTCTCTCGCGGCCCCGTGAATATATCCTCCCGAATTTTTGACAAGATGGCGGACACTCAGAACGATGCGCCTGCTGCTGCGCCTTTCCAGACCGTTCAGGTCGAGGCTCTGGTGAGTTGAACATGCCCCACCTTTTGAGACCCCCTCTTGAAGTACGAGTAGGAGCAGGAGGACTGACCTCAGTTCGTGGTGTCTAGGTTATTATGAAGATCGCCAAGCACTGCTCTTCGGCTTTCCCTTCTGTTGCGACCGGAGCTATTGTTGGAATGGAGAATGAAGGTCTCCTCGAAGTCACCAACACCTTCCCTTTCCCTACCGTCGACCCCGCTACCACCGATAGCCACCAGAACAACGATACTTCGCAGCTCGCCGCCGCTGCTCCCCGACAGCAGAAGAACATCACCTACCTAAATGATATGATCCGACATCTCAAGGAGGTTAACGTCGACGCCAACAATGTTGGTTGGTACACAAGCGCCACCATGGGCAACTTTGTCAACATGAACTTCATCGAGAACCAGTACCACTACCAAACCATTAACGAGAACGCCGTCGCTCTCGTCTACGATGCCAGCAAGAGTTCCCAGGGCAACTTGACCTTCCGAGCTTTCCGTCTGTCCCCTGCTTTCATGACTGCTTTCAAGGAGAGCAAGAAGGATGGCGACAAGAAGGGCGAGTTCACAACTGAGAGGTAGGACAATACTGTATCGCAACGATAACGATAAAGATGCTAACAAAGACTAGCCTGCAAAAGTCCAAGCTCACCTTCAAAGACATCCTCGCCGAGGTCTCTGTTAGCGTCCACAACTCTCACCTCCTCACAACTTTCCTCCACCAGATTCCCTCCGCTCCCGTTAAGGGTGATATCGAGCAGCCCACATCTCTGGCTGACCTCAACCGCAACACCCTCGAGCCTCCTCTGTACCCCTCGATCGATAACCTCGACCTCGCAATCGACCCCTTCCTCGAGAAGACCTGCGACCTCTTGCTCGAGAGCATCGAGTCTCACTACACCGACCTCAACAACTTCCAATTCTACCAGCGACAACTCGGCCGTGAGCAGACCAAGATCACACAATGGCAGGCCAAGCGCAAGGCTGAGAACGCCCAGCGTGTTGCTGCTAAGCAGGAACCTCTCCCCGAGGATGAGTGGCAGAGACTGTTCAAGCTTCCTCAGGAGCCTAGCCGACTGGAGGGTATGCTGAACGCCAAGCAGGTGGAGCAATACAGCAAGCAGGTGGATGGATTCACAGCCAACGTCAGTGCCAAGATGTTTGCCGTGCGGGAGGATCTGTTGCCCAAATAAACGGAGAATGGATGAGATGGGGTTCAAAAAGTCTCGAAGGATTTCAGGAAAACGAGACGCTCAGTGATGGTTTGCATTGGCGGCGTTCCGGACAATGTGGAATAATATCGAGTGCTGGATGGTCTAGATTTTAAAGCGTCGAGAAAGAGAGAAGCACTTGATGAGCACATGATGGACAAGCCTGACGTTGATGCTGGTGATGCTGGTGATGCTGGTGAAAAGTCATGAAGAGGAGGACATGACTGTAGCCTCGATCTGTAAACTTGGCTTCATAGATAGCGCTGCAAACCGAGCTCTCCAAGTATGAGAGTCTTGATCAATCTTAACGTTAAACAAGTATATGACATTACAATTGTTGCTGTATTTTGAACCTGCTGACGAACTATTTCGAAGATCCTCATTGGGTTATTGTCTCAGAGGAATGTCAATCTATATGAGACATATTCTGCATCCCGTGTCTTGGACAACAACAAACAGCAAGCTACCCGCTCTCCCAAGCATCTCTGACCATTGCACTTGGGTTTAGTCTGAGAGGTTGGCTGGTAGCTTGCAGGACGATCAATGACCCGTAGTATTCGCGTGAGGCGGTCCTCGGCTTCCGAGCGGGGAATATCAAGGGTCAAGACTGCACTGCATAGGTAGTTCCAAGATGCAAGGTAGACAGAGACAGGAGGTGAAGTTCAATTGATCAAGGGAACTGGTTAATCTTGAACAGAATAGTCTAGCGTGGCGTTGCCCACTCGCCGAACGAGAAAAATCAACGTGGTTGTCGACGGATCCCGTCCGTATTCGTACCAAGACGGACCTGGATGAGCTTCCCATGATGAGAAAGCTCCTCCTTGTCTTCGTTTTTTTCCTCCATGTGGACTCTCATTAGGGGACACCGAGTCCCTGAGACCCACTCGGGTACCTTTTGAGGCGGCCAACCGACCACCCGTTTAAAAGTATCTTCTGCCCCGCCTCGACCTAAGAAAAATGGCTCCGTCTCTATGGCAGCAGAGAATTCTGCCCCTCATTTTGCCGTCCATCTTTCTCACCGCCCGCGAAAAAACCCCACCGACCCTGGTTAACCCCTCCCCCTCCAAAGGTCTTCAGCCCATAGCAGCAGTTCTCTTTGCCCCGCCCCAAGTTATCTCGTTGTCTGGTCTTCCATCTGCTTGGACTTCTTCAACCTACATATTCCACCTCTTCCCTTTCATTTTCACTCTCTTCTTCTTCTCTTTTCATTCTCTCTTCTCATCAATCCCTCCATTCTCTCCTCCACCCCCATTCATCATGTCTGCTCCCGCCCACAAGTTCAAGGTCGCTGACCTTTCTCTTGCCGCCTTCGGCCGCAAGGAGATCGAGCTCGCTGAGAACGAGATGCCCGGTCTCATGCAGACCCGAACCAAGTATGCTGCCGACCAGCCTCTCGCCGGTGCCCGCATCGCTGGTTGCCTTCACATGACCATCCAGACCGCCGTCCTCATCGAGACCCTCACTGCTCTCGGTGCTGAGGTTACCTGGACCAGCTGCAACATCTTCTCCACCCAGGACCACGCCGCCGCTGCCATTGCCGCCGCTGGTGTTCCCGTTTTCGCCTGGAAGGGTGAGACCGAGGAGGAGTACAACTGGTGCCTCGAGCAGCAGCTCTCTGCCTTCAAGGATGACAAGAAGCTCAACCTCATCCTCGATGACGGTGGTGACCTGACCACCCTCGTCCACCAGAAGTACCCTGAGATGCTCAAGGGCTGCTTCGGTGTCTCTGAGGAGACCACCACCGGTGTCCACCACCTCTACCGCATGCTCAAGGACAACAAGCTCCTTGTCCCCGCCATCAACGTCAACGACTCCGTCACCAAGTCCAAGTTCGACAACCTTTACGGCTGCCGTGAGTCCCTTGTCGACGGTATCAAGCGTGCTACCGATGTCATGATTGCTGGCAAGGTCGCTGTCGTTGCCGGTTTCGGTGATGTCGGTAAGGGCTGCGCCATGGCCCTCTCCGGCATGGGTGCTCGCGTCCTCGTTACCGAGATTGACCCCATCAACGCCCTCCAGGCCGCTATGGCCGGTTACCAAGTCACCACCATGGAGAAGGCCGCCAAGATCGGTCAGATCTTCGTCACCACCACTGGCTGCCGTGACATTCTCACTGGCGAGCACTTCGAGGCTATGCCCAACGACGCCATTGTCTGCAACATTGGTCACTTCGATATCGAGATTGACGTTGCCTGGTTGAAGAAGAACGCCAGCTCTGTCCAGAACATCAAGCCCCAGGTTGACCGCTTCCTCATGCCTAACGGCCGCCACATTATCCTCCTCGCTGAGGGTCGTCTTGTTAACCTCGGCTGTGCTACCGGCCACTCTTCCTTCGTCATGTCCTGCTCTTTCACCAACCAGGTCCTTGCCCAGATCATGCTTTTCAAGGCCTCTGACAAGGCTTTTGGTGAGAAGTACGTCGAGTTCGCCAAGACCGACAAGCTTGACGTCGGTGTCTACGTCCTCCCCAAGATCCTCGATGAGGAGGTAGCCCGTCTCCACCTTGCTCACTGCCAGGCTGAGCTCTCCTCCCTCAGCAAGGTCCAGGCTGAGTACCTTGGCCTTCCTGTCGAGGGTCCCTTCAAGGCCGACATCTACCGCTACTAAGCGGATGTAATCAATACCCAAGGATCCTTCAACTGGACTCCTACGTGTGACGACTTTCCCTCTTCTGTCGACATGACAATCGGCAAAATTCTAGTTTCAACAGCATGAACTTGCATGGCATATGGGTCGGGAGAGTTACTAGGACATCTGCGGTTTTCCGATTTTTTTGATACTTCTCTTCTTTGTTTCTGCTTATTTGGGTTTACTTCTCATGATGAGAAGATTCCTCGCAGGGTGCAGGGAGGGGCAAAAAAATCTTGCTTTTTCAACAAAATGGCGTTGGCTTTTTTGCTAATCATGATTCCCCCCTTCGAGATATAAAAACGGATGATGAATGGAATGAATATGGACGGATATGACCAAGACGAGACCTCCCCCACAGGGATGGAAGGAATGGTACCTCGATAAAGGCAGGCCCGTCAACCGTGGCCAGGATAGAGTAGAAATTCAAAAGAGATTTTCTTCCTC